GGGGATTCATCCTTGAATTGCAGAAACAAGCTGCTACGTGTAAATTCGATGATCAGCTTCATGTGCAACTGAGAGATGGACTAATGGCAGGAATTAACATACCGAGTTTGGAAAGAGAGCTGTTAAGAATGCCGAACTGTTCCTTTCAAGATGCTAGAACTGCGTGTATTAACTACGAAGCAATAAATGAACTTGATATACAGTCGATGAAGATTTCTAATAATTTACTTAGTCGTTGTGATGAACTACAATCTCAGGGTCAATCAAACTTGCGTTCATTTAACAGTGATTCCTATTCTCGTGTAAATATGAAAGGTGTTTTAAGCGAATCACAAAGGTGAGATGAAGTTTGGTAAATGCTTATCATGTGGAAAGTTTCATTCTTGTAATTCATGCGCATTTCGTAATGATAAGTGTTTTAAATGTGGTAAGATAGGACACATTCAGTCAATATGCAAAACCACTGTCCATTTCGCTTTAAGTAGTACTAAATCTTGTAATTTAAATCTCAATAATTCGGATGTTTATAGTGATCATTTATCTTTGTCTACTATTTCGAAAGGTAATGCTCATATTCAAAAGCGACTATATACATCGCCTGGTTCATTTCATGACTTCATTGTAGACACAGGCAGTATAGAGTCCATTATTTCATTCAAGAAAATGAAATCCTTAGATCCTAATGTTGTGGTACGACCCACTGAAGTATCAATATTGGGGATTACTGGACACAGACTGCCCATGTTGTGAGTTCCTAATCGCAGATGATACCTTGTGGATTTTTAGTTAGCGAAACAAGACTGTCACTATTGGATTTAAAGAATTTGAAATGGCTTAAATTGAAGTTGTCCTTCGTAGTTTCTAAAGAAAATTCTGATACTTTACTTAAAGATTTGATAGATATGTGTGCTAAGTGCAGTGGAGGTATGAAAATTCAGCATATAAAACTTCAAGTACAGGGTGATCCAGTCTTTCCTAAAAGACAAATAATTCTTTTTGGTCTTCCAGAAGCAGTACATAAGACATCAAACGATTTGTGTGCGAAAGGCATAATTGAACCAATTCAGTCTAAAGCATGGGGTACTCCTATCGTTACGCCAATGAAGTCGGACGGCAAGACCCGTCTTCTAATGGTCAGGCAGAGAATTTTGTCAGGACATTAAAGACTGCTATTGATTCTATAGCCGCCTCACCATTTAATGAGCTGGAGAGGGGAGTAGATACCTTTTTATTGCAATATAGAAATGACAGACATTCGGTGACGAAGGAGACTCCAGCGAAGCTACTGAAAGGAAGAATTCTTCGGCCGAATATGAGACGTTTGAAGTTTGCAGAAGTTACATACTATCGAAGAAATGATCTTCGACCATATACGGGTATTGTTCTGAGGAATGTCGGAAAATCGATGGTGCAAATTCTTGACATCAATGACTTAAGTACACACAGTCGACATGTTGATAAAATACAATTTCAGGAACCAGGTGAGTCTGTTCCAATTTCCGTTGTTAATTCTAATGCTAATGAGCACATTCTAGATTATACAGAATCCTTTTCCAATACAATGTCAGACAGACTAAGGATGAATTTGAAAGGAAGACGTACGATTGATTACAAACACCTAGACTCAAATTTAAGCTGTGGCGGATCTGGTGTTTGAACGAACTAGTGATACTTTTGTACTTGTGGATTGCACGATTTCGAATTCCAAATACAGTACATTCGCTTGTGCTTGAGTCTTACTTCTTAATTATTTCGTACTATAATTCAAATAATTGGAAACATTATATTTAGGCATATATTGAATTGTGAGGGAAAACAGATTCAACAACTTTGTCATTATATGAAATATATTTACCGTTGCCTGCAGAATTACAAAAACGTCTTCTCATTGTTATTGAATATAACATCTGATAAAGCCATAATGTACATATTAGGAGCCGGACAAACAAGGCTACCAATCTTTGTGTGAGGACACGTGACCATTTACAATTCGGATTTCTATTTATACCTGACGTACGGGTAACATGTTCCGGACGTTTGATTCCAAGGTTTGTGGATTCTTTTGATTCCTTCGTAACTTGAGGAGAAAGCCTCAAGTCGAACCTCTTGTTTTCTGAAAGAATCTAGATTTTTCTCAGAAAAGGCATAGTACTTTCGAGTGGAAACTCTTTGCTTTTCAGTTAGCCTTTGAGGTAACTAGTCTAATGCTTTCATACCAGTTTAAAACTGCTAAACGTGAGACTTAAATGAAGGGACATGACCCCCACGTGATTAGTTGTCCAAGTAGAGAACAATATATAACCCTGATTAAGCTCGATCAACAAGTAAATATCTGAGTATATCAATACACGTGAGTTTGTCTTTTCCTGGCAGGTGCAGTACGACGTCTTTAATAGCACCCATAAAATGGACCATTCCAAGTATTGAAGCGAAGGAATAAATATTCCGCAATCATTAAGAAGGAAAAAGTCGACATTCGTAACCGACAATTGAAACTTACATTTAAGGAGGCTGAAGGAAGTGAAATCTTGAAACTGTCAACAAGTGATAAGAAACGAACTCTGATATCTTCCTAAACTCGACTTGACTTTTCGTCTGACTCCATTGAGGCAGTGGAATAAAAAAATGAACGCATCGAACGTTTAAACCATCAACAGCTTATTCTCAACACTAACCGGTGATAAATTTACACTAAAGGGAAGACGTGCATATTTCCAAAGGTCACTCTGTCAGTAATGGTTGTTACTTTAATCGTCCTTCTTGGCACATTCAAAAAGTTCCCCTATATATCGGCGTAGTTGTAATAACACTTATTGTAGAAACAATCCTTTTACTTATCCCTCTATATCACTGCTATCATTGTATTTAATGTATTATTCATTATGTGTACATGTAATTCGCATGCTCCAGAGGGAGGGAGTTTTATAGTGACGGACAAATATAACAAGTTTTGTATTTACGATAAAATACTATATTTTTTCTCTCGTTGTATAACTTTGTAATTATATTTATATTTAGATCAAGAGCGCGTTGTTTATTCGTTTTAATTGAAATCACTATTCACTCGTTAGTCAATCGATACTTTCACTGCATTTTCCCTAGCGCGCCAACAAGTTCCTATTTACATAATTTCTGTACTAATCTGTCGACCATAGATTTTGTTCGAAGAGTGTAATATTACTGTGTGTCATTTTAGACAGCTCTACACCACTTGTGTTCATTAACCTGAAAAACTAAAAACATGAAAAAAAATTAACGTGCTACGAGAAAAATGCTGTTAACAGCTGATAAATACAGATATCTTAAATTCTCGGTAACATAACTTATACTTCACAACCTATAGCAGAGATATTGGAGTCCGAATATAAAAATTAAATAAGTGATGGTTGAGTGATTTTATAATCAGTCTACCACAGCTACATTACTAAACTACTTTCATAATAAGTTCAAACATTGTAACTGGCCTACTTACATCTACTGGCTTTCGTGGATGAGCGAATCATCCAGCTGCATCCAAGCCATCCATTATATCTCGTGCCTCCTCTAACATTTGGAGGTCTTCATGATTCACTCAACCACCGAAAAAAGAGAAAGGGGAATAGTGAGAACCCATGCCTGACTCCGGTCCGTACTCGGAATTCATTCTTCAGCTGTCCTTCTTGCCTAAATTAGCAGTGCAGTCCATCACATGGATTCTGTGCGATGCTAACGATATTCTCAGATAAACCATAGTGCCAAAAAGGTTCCATGAGATGCTTTTATTCAAGCTATCGAGTGCTTTCCCATAATCAAGGAAGTTGAATTTCATTCAACCAATTCAACAACAGTGATCCATAGTTTTTAGATCTCAATGCAAAGGTCACATATGATGGTTTAAAATAAATTAGGCACTGAGTAGAAGTGTCTTACATCAAATTACCAAACCTTAGAAGTAAGAATTTTCTGCCCTTTTAACAATGATCCGTAATGTCGCGATTTACTATATGCACGACCGATCTTTACGGAATTCGTCCGGTTGACCTCGAAGCTAGGAGAATACTGAATCTTTCATCCACTTCAGCAGCATTCTATTGAAAGCTTTTCCTGGTACCGATAATAGTGTGATTCGATTGTCATTCTCCCACTGCCTCAGATCCCTACTTTGGTATCTAGGTGTCGTATTGTGGTGTTTGTATGGACTATTGTTTTGAATTTAATTCCTTGTTGATTTCGTATTCTAAATATAATATGTTCGTTTGTGCTAACTAGTTCTATTTGGCCTAAACTGCACTGTTTTGGGAATCCTTAGTTAATAAATTCATTCGAATGCTTATTATTATTATATCGGCATCGCGATGGAATCAAATCTTAAAAAATCGGTTACAAATTCAAGTAGGGACGACTTAGAAGAGTGCACAGAGTGGTTCGAAATCTGGCGCATGACTGGAAAGGATACTAAAGATGACAAATTCACAACTTATAATCTGCCAAAGAATCTTGCTTTTTCAGAGAAACCAATTTAATTGTTGTATGCATCTTTCGAAAAGTTTTTACTTATTCATATGCAGTATGTTATCTTTGAATGAAGGAAAACCGAAGTTTCATAACATTATTTGAAAAAATAAGCAGAAAGTAAAAGGCTTTACAACCCAACAACAAAAACAGTCTGCGGAATACAGTTTCTGAAACCCGAACATTTACGATAAGATTGAAGAAAATAGGAACAAGGGATTTAAGAATTAACTTTTGATTGTTTTATCGCAAACGATCAGCAAGCTCCAGAAAATTTTTGTTTGCCGAACAATAAACAGGCATTAAATATAATTTGACGACAGTTTTCAGAAGTGTGTTATCCTTGCCGGACCTTGGTTTCTGTCAAATATCTTGATGAGAAAGGACTGGTTCGAAAGAAAAGTGATACTTGTGGTGTACAACCAGATTAAAAAGTAGATCAAAGCATGATTTGAAGTAGTGTTTCTTAAATTTACAAATCAGGAATTGAGGTAACGCGAAAATTCCGTGAGACTAGCGCGCTTTAAGAGTAGTGCGTTACAGATATGTGTCAAGTGGAAATGAGGCAACTAAAATGCACAACTGTCTCTAGAATGAAATAGTGCAGTAGATGTATCCGTTTTCAAATGTATGTGTTTAATTTAACATATTACTTTCTGTTTGACATTGATTAATTTCTGTTAACGTTTAGTCAATCGTGATCGATGTTAATTCATAAGCAAACGTAATGTGGAATTAAAAGAGTAATTATAGGTGGTCGGTCAAAGATTATTCGTTTTCTATTTATTTTAATACATAGATATTGGTACAAGGAGGCACCAAATACATATGCGCCACACATCTCATTTGATATGTGTGAGGGCTGTGATACTACCCGGGTGCGCAAACCGAAGCAGGTGGTTTTCTTAGGTGGCCAGTCCCCGAGCCTTCGACCTGAAGGTCTGGTCCACAAGGCAGTGGAGCATCGTAAGGAGATGCAGTCCCATAGTAGTCGGTGACCAACAATTGGTTCTTACGCCATTTGTTCCCTCAGGATACTGGGGCCCATGTGCACCATTGGTTTGGAATCCGGTTAAAGCGCCGGACATTCACTTTTTGTCCTCTCATTTTCGTAAACAACACACCCGCCGCGAGAAGGCAGTGTATGGGACTTTCCTGGCAGAGGCTATATACGCGTGGTCATGTGAGAGAATTTCTAGAGGGAGGGCGGACTCTCCCCACTCTCGGCAATACCAGGGCATTTGGGGGCCAAAGAATATTCAAAAAATACATAAGGCTATCAAGTTCTTAAATAAAGAGATAAGTATGAAGACGTTAAACCATTGTATGTCGATAAATTTGAGATATGGGAATTTCGACGACTCTCATTTATGGACGAGTCAACCAGAAGCGTTTTAGAGATTTCAAGGTTACTGCGCCAACTTCAGTGCTTTATGCTAACGTACGATCGGTTCACAGGGAATTTTGTACAAAGCGTGATAATTGAGCGGTTATTTGCATCGTGTCGTTATCCACAAGTTGCATTTTGTGCACTCAACCGGAGTGCACATAAACAATATTGAAGCTATGTGGTCGAGGCTGAAAGTTTTTGAGACTTTCTCATGGCTCAAGAGGCCGACTATTCTGTAGCCATATGAATGATTTCCTCTACTGCATGCATTACGAAATTAGATCCTCTGAACCTCTTTCTAACCTTGACAAGTTTTTGAACCCCGTATAATAAGTGTATCCACTTTATTTTCTCGGTTTTGTATAACAAATTTTTACTATATACTGACTATTTGCTGATTGGCCAATATTTCTCAAGATCACTTAAGATTCGTTCAAAGGCCGTCCATAAATTAGAGTCTCGCCGGAATCCCTAAATTGCTAGAAAACAAACTAGGAGGGATCCAAAATACTTCAGGGTAGTATGTGTTTCCTGTGATTATATGTATTCAAGCAACATACATCGGTTCAGCAAGTTATCTCTGCTTCAGGCAAAAATTAGGAAGGATTATGGAGCTCCATAAAAGAAATAATAATTTGACCTCAAATGACATAAAGACTTGGAATCTGATATAAGGGATTAGACCAAGAGCACAGGAACGTGACCCGCTGTGATTAGTGGGAGAAAAAAAACGTTTTGGTAATTATTTATGGATATACATCAACGTCATTAGAAGTTTGATGTATTCATGGGCGGCCGATAGTTATCTAAGACATGTGGCTAGATAGTATATGTTTCATGAAAAATTGCCCCGAGATTAAATGAGAGTTCTAGAAATAGTTGATAACTCCCCTTATAGTCTAGAAACAGGATGATTAGTCATTTAAACTTGGTGATAGTATCATAATGAGGGATAAGAAATAGGAGCCTGTTCCGAATTAAAATATATCGTACTATAAAGAACTTACAATTTACTGGTTTTTGGTGTTTTACAGTTATAGTATATACGTTGTTTATAAGTCTGCTAGGAGGGTTCTGAATCATGATTGGGCGGGAAGTTAAGAAGGAAAGGCTATGTATTATTTTGTAGAAAGTATTAGGTTGCTCATTAGCTGTCGGCTTCATAAATGTTCCGAGGATAGGTATTTGCACCTAGTTGCGTCATCGATGGTGGAGTTGTATCCCGTCTATATTTAGAAATGGTAAGAGAGATATGTTCTGCCAATGTCAGCCTCGAGTCTTCACAGAGATCTTTGTGTAGTTAATATGTAGTTCACATGTTGAGTTGAGCATCTGAGTTTTACATTTGTTTAGGTAAAGTGGTATTCTAGAGTGGCGTTTCTGATATAACGGAAGGTCGTGTTTTTTCTTTCAGGTATACTACTATAATCCGTTAATACGATAATGAGACTAGTCACGTTATATCAGCTCCTGGATTCACGACCCAGAATAAAGAACCAGATTCACACTAGGTAGTACTTTATTCATTCCAGTGGAAATCGTCAACTGGTACCATACGATATCCATGGCCCTTTTTCCAAAACGTAGTGTATCCTAGGCCGTGATCATTAATGAATTATCAGTCACGCAAATTCTTATGAAAACTTCCTGGACATTGATATCTTCTGGTATATGACCAAATACGAGTATTCCGTTTTTCACAGGCAAAGATAGGGGTTCAAGTGACCCATTTGAAGTACTGTAAGGATCCAATCTCTCTTTGGACCTGTTAATTAAAGTTACTGATAGTACATGTTATGGTAGAAAGTTCCTGTAACTCTCGATTCTATGTGAGAAGCAAAATTGCATACATGGATGGTTTTATCTCAGTTGCTTAGCTTTATGAGAGTGCTCTGTTTAATGTTAAGGTCTAGATGGAAGAAAAAAGATAAGACATATTAGTACCAAATTTCAACAATTGAAAATGCATCATACAAGAGGGTAGTTTTACCTTGGTTTACAGTCTTTTTACAACCTGAATAGCAAAGCCTAATCCTGTGGCGCAACCACATAAATACCAAGAAACTTGGTAGACCAATGGGAATTCTGCGCAACCTCGGTTACATCGGGAAGTTTGATCAGTTTTCATTGGTGTTATTTTCGTCTAGAATGGATGTGTATTACATTGTCGAAGATTTAGAAATAATTCTACTTCAAGATAGTAACCTATTTTTGGTTTCATTGTAGAAAAGCTGACAGTTAAAATTCCTTAGAACCCGGTCCCTGTCTGTAAAGCTATTGTTGCTTAAAATTTTTTAAAAAGTTCAATTATGAAAATTCGTAGTGGGCTGGTTTTGACAGCTTTAGCATCTCAGATATCATCGGCATTTGATGAATCATCAAAAAAATATAGGCCTCGTCAACGTCAATATCATCGGCAGGATTCATCGCATATTACAGAATACATTTGTCGTGCACAAAAAATGGTGTACGGGTTTAAGGTAAGTTGAACTTTACAATCTTCTATACATTTTGTACTTTAGGAAAAGGTGGGTTGTCCTGGTATGTCTGTCTGTGTCTCATTATCAGGGAAGATTATTTATCAAGAAGGTTAGTTATTAGTTAGCGTTATCATAAAGAAATGTCACATACGATTACTGTTTTGTGAAATCGTATTTTAAATATGATTTTAGATAATCTTATGTTTATGCACTTTCTTGAAGGTGTTGGATATGCCAATGTTGAGCATATGGTACCAGTAAATGAAAATACAGTATTCCGAATAGCGAGTATTAGTAAGCCGTTTACTTCATTATTGGTTGGAAGATTATTGGATCAACACAAGTTAGATCTTGACGAAGATATCCGATCCTATTTACCTGAGTTTCCGGAGAAAATAGTCAATGGAACATATGTACGTAAATATAACTTAAATATTTTGATGATCTAAATGTAACCAAAATATTTTTTAAACTTTACCATGTAAATCCTCCATATATTAGTCCATTTAAAACATATGTACCTGAAATGATGGAGAATTAACAAGCAATAGGTACAATTTAGAAAATGGTATCAAGACATACATTTATTCAAGGTGTTATAATTCACAGCACTGAAATGAAGTTCTATCAATTTGAGGTAATAAAGATGGACGAAAATGATAATTCGCGTAGAATTGATACATACAAATTGTTGTGATAGATTTTAAACTAAACCTTTAGATGTTCACAACCATCATTTTTGATTGTTTTAAATATTTCAATCAGGTTGTCTACACCTCCATACATAACTCAGAAAATGTTTTTAAATCTGTGGATTGATTATATATATTGCTGGCGTTAGCACTTTGAAAAGTTACCCCCGAACCAGTTGGCATAATACCGATGCTTTGTGGTTTGATATGTATAACATATGTCTCAAAGACCTCCATCATTAATGTTTTTCAACTTCATCATTTAACTTTTCCAACATGTGTACTTACTTAAAACCTTAAATCAGGTCTTATTTTTATCGCGCGTTAGTAGGTTTTATACATCTATGGGTAAACACGTGTTTCTTCTGCTTTTGTTAAGTAGTTTCCACAACTGCAATTAATACACAATGCACTGTTACTAAGTCTATCCATTTTTTTCGATAAATAAACAGATAACATAAGTAGCCTGTTCTTGAACGAACCTTGTTTCAGAATGCAAACTCATCAAAGCTGACTAAATTAAATAATTTGAATGATACACTCAAACATGTTACTCCTTAAACTGTGCACTCATGGTATTATTTTAGATGTAATTTCTAAAATGTATTTTAGATAGTATTTTTTCACCTTAGGAAACTTTACTGATTACAGTGAATGGAACAAATCTAGGCTAGACACTTGTACCGAAAATTACTGGAAGTTTTTTTTAAGCTAACAGCTCAATGTAAGCTATATCATAAACCTAACATGATACAGGTCTGTCACTTGTTTTTCCCTTCAATTTTGAATTATTCATATTTGATTGTGGTTCTAGAGCTAAGGAATTCGGTGATCACTCATTGATGTATATTTTGAAAATCTTCGGCTACTGAATTTTAAACATTTGAATATAATGATTAGATTCTAATATTATGTAAATTATATGTGATTTATCACTTATTACTGAACTCTTACGAGAGACTATTATTTCTCAGTTTTTCTTTCTCAATCATCATTTAATTAGCAAATAGAAATAATCTGAAAATATCAACAACAAAAAAATAATAATGACACCAAAAAAGGCAATTTCATTTGGATCAAGAACCCTTCATAAAGTGTCTTAACATTTAACATCTTTTATAACCTCAGAAACTGAGACTTTAAGCAAATAAATACTAGAATTTATATAATAAAAAGGTCGTGGATGCGCACTGCTGAGGAGTCCCACAATAGGACGAAACGGCCGTCCAGTGCTTCCAGGTTTTCGATGGTGGTCTAGCTTCAACTAACTCATGATCTTAACCATTGAAATTACTATAATATCCACAAAACCCATCTGATATTAATAAAGAAAAAGGTAGAAAAAACTGATAACATAATTAAATTTTATTTATTCTCCAGAAAATAACTACAATATTTGAATTAAAAATTAAAACTCATTTAAGTACAAAATTTCTTAACTTTTGATATAATCGAAACAGGGAAAATACAAAAATAAGTTTTACATAAAGTTTAATACAGAATAAGTACTGTATATTATTACTGAACAAATATCACAATGAAATAAAGTAAGTGTTATACCAAAAAATTATCATATAAAATTAAAATTTAGTAAATAATATTAAACAAAAACCACGTTTAATTTAAAAGCCCGATCGTTGTTTCTACTTTGACGTGGTGGTCGGGCTTGCCTATCGTGATGAAGCAACCGAGCTGGCTGGAACAACCGTTCATCAAGGTCCTACCATTTCAGACAGGTCGGTTGAAGAGCGGTAAGACTAAAAGCAACAAACCTAAGGTTCGAAGGCTAAGTCGTACTGCTGATTGTACAGAGTTGTGACGGCAGTAAGGTGTTTCCTTCAGACAAATAGAATAACAGAGATGTTGCCTTCGCACAAGGAGGGGCGGGGTTAGAAAAGGTCGACCTTAAAAATGCACACCTTGTTTTATCCCACGGATATCCGTCTCCGGCGGTAAGGTCTCAACAAGTACGGAGCTAACACAAAATTACCCATATAAAGGTCGTGTGTGACCGACCTCAAGCAGTTGTCACTTGGGCACTGCGGTCACGCTCTCAGGTTACCAAGACCACCTCTAATCCAATTTTTTTCGGGTACCTCCAGAAGAACCCTTCCACGGTGTGGGCAACCGGGAAGTGATAACCGCCCTCATACCTCTAACAGCACTCAAGACCTGACTGACTTAACTTAAAAGATGATTTAGTGTATTTTCAATATTTTGTAAAGTTATTATCATTAATAATTAGTAAATTGCTTTAAGGTCTAAGTATATTTTACACTTATCAGCATAAGGTTTTGGAAATTATTAAGATTTCGATCAAGATCATGAACCGATTGATGTTAGACTACCATGGAAAATCTGGAAGCACTCGAGGGCATTTCGTGCTGTTGTGAGACTCCTCAGTAGTACGCATCCTTGATCACGCTCGTTGGGTTCGAACCCAGGGCCTTCAGTCTCGCGCGCGAACGCTCAACCTCTAGACCACCGAGACGGCTCTGGGATCGTGGATGCGCACTAGTTTACATTTATTTTTGTAAGACTAGAGTTCTCGTTCGATTGAATATTGACTGGAAAACGTTTACACCATTCTCATTGAAGAAAAATCAATTCACTGCAATTGTTTTCCATAAACTTTACCTGAATTTCTCACCGATAGAGTTTATTACTTTTACTAACTTTTTTATCAACGATTCAAACGTATTTTTCTGCTCAAGTGATCACTGTTTCTAACCTGTACATATCTTGTTGAAGGATTTTGTTTATCAAATATTTCTCGTGTAGGTCCAGTGTTTACGAAAGTTTATCAATAATCAATCGGCAGTCAACCAAACAATCTTGAAATTTGAATGTCATTGTTAAATATTATAATAGGTATAAGACACTCGTATTATCCCTTTTGTAAGGCATGTATATATCACATGATACTTTTGCTCGAAAATGAAACACTAGAACGAGAAAAATACTAACATTTCTTTATGGCTTTAGTTTTGAGTCCAGATGTTTGGATAAGAATAAAATCGTTAAAGTTAGTTAGTAGTATCAGACTTAATAAACAAATCCATTATCTATAACATCTAAAATCAAGACGATACATAGAAAAAAAGTTACTGCTGTTATTGGATAGAAGGAAATAAATCAATTAATGTTACGTAACGGTTTATATATATAGATGATGATTTACATGTCAGGTAAATGCAAACATTGTAGTTATTTACGTATTTAAACAGTAATATGGAGAACTACAAAGAATAACGTAATGTAAATAATCCTATTGTGTAAGACAAATATGAATAAATAAAACATCATCTGGATTTCGTAGGGTAGATGTATGTAAAATAATATAAATATATTAAACCATAGAAAAAGGTTTTTGATTTGGTAAAAATATCAAATGTCAAATAAATTAAGCTTATAGCATTAAAATATGAGTACAGTAAAAACTCCTTAGTATTAAGCTTTTATTTAAAACGTACACTTATCCTAATCTGTTCGTTCCAATAATCTTTTATTATGATTATTATGTAAGAACAATAAATTAGAATCCTGTTTAATTGTTATCGTACCTATCATTTTTGTTTGTTTGAGCACAATGTATTAAATTGTAGTATACCAAAAAAAAATATTGGAACCTTTTTCATATAACTTAATATGTTATTGTTGTTAAACTATGAAAACTGTTTTGGTTTGTCTTTTTCATAGTTTTAATTTGTATAAAATTGTTTACTTAATTGAACTAGTGAACAATGTACACTATGTTCATTTGTCGTGCTGACTGAACATGTATATACTTTTTGCTTTCTTTTGATAGTATGTTGTGTGAGTCTGCTTACTCTACATGTATTTGCTAGCTGCCTGAAATATTGTATTCACCAAACCATCGTTGTCGATTTCATTTTTTTCTTACTGATGGAATGTACCTCAAAGGTGTTGTGACGTAATCTAAGAAAACAACGATTAGAGTCAGATCAGTCGCCAGTTAAGCCATCTAAAATGGAACTGGTGTATTTATGCATTCAACCGAAATTCCATAGTCTAGATTTACGTTATATATGTTTAGCGCGGTAAAAATATACACTTTAACAATTATTATGTTAAACTTTTAACAGTCAAGAAAAATATCTAATTACCTGTTTAATTTATAATTTTGAAATTAGGCCAAAATAACTGTTCGATCATTGCTCAACCATACCAGTGGTATTCGTAGTTACAAAAAAACTTCAGATGAAAATAAACAATCAGTAAGTGTATTAACAATTACAATTTATGTACAAGAAATATTTTCATTGGGACCACGTTTTAATACTTCAAGTATGTGTGTTTACAAACCAAAATCCTGATTCTCGTTTTAAATTTATCTCAATGGGTTTTGTAGATATTATAATAATTTCAATGGTTGAGATCATGAGTTTGTTGAAGCTAGACCACCAGTGCTTCTAGGTTTTCCTTGGTGATCTAGCTTTAACTGACTCATGATCTCAATCATTGAAATTAAATTTATTTATCATAATTAAAAAGATTTTGATAATTAATATTTTTATTTCAGTATGAAGTGTATACTTGAGTTTAAACTAATAGAATTTATTCACATTCTTCACTGTTTACTAAAATGAAAATCTGATACTTAACCTTTTTTTAATTGTATAGGACAGTTACTTGACAAATGAGACCAAAAATTTGTCCTTAAGAGTTAATTTATTATTGTTACTTTTAATTTAAACATGTTAGTGTTTTTGGAGTATTCCTTAGAATATTCTTGTACGTCCAAATTCAAGTGAACAATCATTCCTAAAATATAAAATTTCTGAATGTTTTTGAATTGTCTTGAATTCACATACTCACATGTGTCTACTATCGTACATATTTTCATATTTATCAAAATCAGAGTTTAACACTTCATTTTTATTTATGAAATGAGTGATTATATCTTATTTGGTTTCATGTTTAGACATATTAGACTTATTAGTAGAATGATCATGCAACTAGTTTGTCTTCTGTGTGATTGATAAATAAAAGCAGTAAAAATGTGTCTGGATTTCTAAAATATTTGAGCATGACATTAAAAGCAAATCTCTTATATGCTAGAAAATGTTAATATCAACTAAAAATTCAATGCTTTGTCAAGTAACCTCTCAATGAAATGTTAAAATGATACCATGTCCTGTGAGTAGGTAATGAGCTTTTAAATTATAACAGGTATTTCAAGAAATTATAAACACCTTACATATCTAGTTCTTTTTCTTTCAACTTGAGGTCTGAGAATGTATTTTTTTAATAATGGCCAACTGAGAAATGTTTTGAAGACAACAAGCACACATATAGTTAGGCATTGTTTGTGCTACTTTCATCCAAATATTTATTTTTATTGTTATTTGATTATATTTAGGCGTATCCAGAAATGTTAAATACTGTTCGTTTTAACGATACATTAAATGCTTGTGATATGTTTAAAGATGATACATTAGTTCATGCACCTGGTATTGAATATACCTATAGTACATTTGCATTCACTTTATTATCAGCAGTTATTGAAAAAATTTGTTTAAACAAAGGTAGTTTATTTGATCAACCATTAGCAACAGTTAAAGGTGAATCAAAGTCATCTTGTGAAAACGAAACAAAATCTACAAACACTTTACCGAAATGGGCAAGATTTGATACCAATCTTTTAAGACTTTTTCAATACCTCAATTTGAATAATACCTGTTTAGAGTATCCTGAGAAGATAATTTCTTCAAGAGCTGCGTAAGTTCTATTTTTTTTAGATTACTTTTTATAAATGCGATTAGATAAATGCTTTTTTCCATCTATAAAAAGTGAAGTAATATGATACGCAATGTTTGTCAATTTGATATAATCGACAGAGGTCAGAAACTAGTCAGATAACTAAGCATAAACCATATATGACTTTGGCACAAATCTTCCGATCCAGTTCAAAATACTTTCCACTAATACAACAAAAGTGATAGTTAACACAATGAAAAAAGTAGAGTGGAAATAATGACATCAATTACAATAAAGGTATGAAATAATTTTGTTGACTCAGTAATCAGTAATGATGAATCAATGCAGTCTAGGAAAATAACATCGTGAAATGTCACATTCACTGTCTATGTATAGGGTTTTATTATTCGAAGCATTCTGTGGCATCTGAATGGCGCGCTAAATACAAACAAGTCAGTAATAAATTAGTATGCATAACTAACACGGTGTGGAGAAATTTATAAAGTCGACTTTCAGAAAAGGGCTAATTGGAAATTTACCATTCTAAGCGCTAATGTACTCCAGTAACTTCTCAGAAACCAGTAGTTTTGTTGTCTATTTAAGTCTTTCGGTGATACATAAGTATTTAGTAGAGTCAACTACATGAAACATTGTCGAGATATCTGAACTGATATATACTACATTTTCAAGTCTGAACTATTCATAAGAAGCTAAAACTTTTTAGCAAGTTCAACAACTCTTGAGGGACTTCAGTCCAACATCCATTTAATAGGCATGTGAAAAGCTATTGGGCTTTGTTGGAATAGATTACGAGAGTACCTAAAATCGGCGAACGAAACGAAGGATCAGCAACACAACAACAAGACAAGCTAAACTATTCCGATGTTTCAGCCCTGCTAACTAGAAGGAGAAGATCAAGTTCAGAGGAGGGAAAGGTAATCAGAAACATTAACGAACCAAGCACACAACTCAGGCGTATATATACAGTATAAAAATAACCTTTGGGAATGTCAAAAGATAGCGTATGAAAAGAGGGAACAGACCAATGACATTTAAAGATCTATCAAGGGGGGAACACAATCTGAGGGTAAATAATAAGCGCTTTTGGCGCGAAAATGGGAAGTTCAAATTTCCAAAATAAAGTTACAAAAATAAGACGTTTACCAACTGATTTCTGGGGACCTAGCATTCCCATCAGATCGAAATAAACTTTTCCACAAAATTACACAGATAGCGTTGTATTCTAATTATTACCAGTGAGTCGATAATTAATTTGTACCGATTTCTATTTTAAATGAAATTATTTTATCTTTTCCAAGTCAGTATTGTCGCTCCGATAAAGGGATACTTACAAACACTCCCACAATTGATAATTCATATAAATGGGCTGGTGGAGGTATTCTTTCCACAGCTAGTGATCTAATTCGCTTAGCTGATCATTTAGCATTTATTTATATGGGTTGGCTTGAATCATATGGAATTGTTAAACAATCTACTTTGAACCAATTATTATGGAAAGTTTCTTGTGTACCACCAGATCGAAGTACATTACCTGGACTGGGTTGGTTTTTAGCCAGGTAAGTTTCATAACAAATTTTTATTTCGTCATTTCTCTTAAGTCTATGTATTGTTTAAATGATGTTTGTGTACAACTTATTTTATTCTAAGGCAATATTTCACAGTTGAATTGAATAAACTTAAATTAATCAAAATGATTTTCAATATAGTTAACTATTTAACCGGTAAATTATTCATCAACATTAAACTAAATGACAAAAAATATATAATTCCTTTTGAGATCGCTATGTGAATGTAATTATTAGAATTCTTTAAGATTCTTTTTTTTAAATATACTTGTTTTTAAATTCGTTTATTTATTTGAACACATGAATGTTGGTACAAAGTGGCACCGAATACATATGCGCTACACCAGTCACTTGATTTGTGTATGGGCTGTGATACTACACGGGTGCCCAAACCGAAGCAGGTGGTTTTCCTGGGGTACCTTCAACCTAAAAATCTGATCCACAAGGCAGTGGAGCAACGTCAGGAGATGCAGTCCCATGGTAGCCGGTCATCAACAACAGGTTCACTCGTCACTTTTTCCTTTAGGATACTGGATCCCATGTGCACCATTGGTTTGGAATCAGAGTATTCCAACTCCTCCAGGTGGATTCTTCATATCCACAAAACCGGTTAAAGCGCTGGGTATTCACTTTTCATATTTTCACTTTCGTAGACAACACCCCCGCTGCGGGAAGGGAGTTAGTAGGATTTTCCTGGCAGTGGCTGTTTACGCGCGGTCATATGAGAGCACTTTGAAAGGGAGAACTAACTCTCCCCACTCTTGGCCGTACCAGGTATTCGGGGGCCTTTAAAAATATTTCGTGTTTATAAAGTATTAGTAAATATCCATCCATACATCATTCTGCTTCTGATAAAAAGCACAATTCATCTGTTTGACTAGTGCACTTCCTTGTTTTACATAAACTGTTCAATATAGAGTATATCGTTAAATGCTTTTCTAACTTCACATTTATGAATTGTCATCTGTCGAAATTTCGACTGGTTTAAACGAAAAAAATTACTTCGATAAGAAATAGAACTGATAAGCAAGCGATAAATATTATTATCTCAATAGATTATTATTTGAATGGGATAATGTTGTAAGCAGGATATGAGATTTTATTATCTGCTAGCAGAAAAGTAATAAATTGTATCAAACTGATAGAAGAACAACCTATTCATATTTGTACTCCAAACACTTAGTCTACTAAGGAGATCGCCTTACATAAATATTAAAATTTCAATGAAATTGGAGTCGTCGAGACCGATAGTATGTATAGATTCCAACTATAAACATGTCTAAACACTATTCTATTCAACATAAAGTGAAAACACCATTAGGAAAATATATTCAACATAATATATTTTGCGATAAGTTTGTATTTACTATGTACACTAGGTAATAGAATTAATTGACTACTTAAATCTTGAAAGGTTTTATCAGAGTTCAAACAAATGATCTAATGTATAAACATTTATTCAATCATTCAAAGCACTACACACGGCTAAGACTAAGAAATGTTTTATTCTTTGTTATTAATACGTTTTATGTGTGTGGACTTTTTTTCTTCTTCCAGACGTTCAGGTGATCCAGCAACTAAAGAAAATGGATACCCTGACCGATTATATGCATTGCATACAGGTGGTGCAGTGGGTGGTACAACTGTTCTTCTTCTTAGTCTCCCTTTGTTATGTAATAATGATAATATTCCTAATAAAACAAATGAAGGAAACACTTTTTCTACTACGGATAATAATCATAATTTCATTTCATCTGTACATAATAACAATGTGATAATATATCCAGTGAATAAAATATATCCAGTAGATATTCGAATAAAAGCAGCCAATATTCCCCCAATTAACGTGGTTATTTTAACTAATTTAGAAAATGTTTCTGGTATATCAGAACTAGCTATACATTTATCTGAATTATTTTTGGATTATGCTATAAAATTGAAAGAATATAAAAATGATGAAGAAATAGAGAAATGTTGATTCAGGCAGTATTGATCAATATGAATATTATTTTTTTGCTCTCTTTTTGTTTGTTACCATGTCATTTTGATTATATTTTCTTTCCTATTGAAAGGTTTACTAGATCATAATAACAATATCTATGCGTGATTTAATAATCAGTAACATTTTCTTATACAATTCGATAAATTAAAAGAAAAGACATTTATCAACATCTGACTAAGCTATTTGTTTCTGTACAAAGAATGTATAAGACAGTTTGTTTGGTCTACGGGAATTCTTTTTTGTAATATTGAATGTTTATTATCATATTAACATTCGAAATTTCCTTTAATTTACAGATTTTTCTTCATTTTTTTTAAAAATAATTGCAAATATTTTGAAAAAAATTAATCGTTTCTGTATAATAAAAGAATGCTCGTAAAATACAAGTATTTCATCATAGATGTTTTAGAAATATTACTCGCATCTGCTGGGATCACCGGGTAAGTAATTATGAGGTTAGACTTAGGGTATTAGGGAATGATGATAAATCAGTTGATGACGTAAATCTTCATCGACTGAGATGGTTGAGTCATGTATTACACATCTCCAACTGCCGTAGTGCGCAATGCTGATTAGTGTTGTAGATGGATGGAAGAAAATGGTGGGGGGCAAACCAAAATGTGGCATCAGTTCATAAAGTCACTAACTTCTGGTCTGAGCCATGTTGGTAGATGCAGACTACTTGGTTGGGGGCCGCACAACTGTCGTAACTAGTTGTTGGAGACTCTGGGTGATAAGGCTCAGAATCGATCGCAATGGACTAGGTGTTTACACTTTTTGTCTATCATTAAACTGTGAGATTAAAATTACTTTGTACCTTTTTATGAACTGATTGTTTCTCTGGGTATCTTATCCTTATATGCAATCTTTCTTTTATATATTACCACCATTGAATTAACTACTTCTATGAATTCGGTGTTCATCTTGCTGTGCTAATGAGGTAGGGCAACTTGAACCGATGCATATGCGTGCCTGGTCCTACGTTGAGTGAGTAACATGTTTAAATGTACTAACTGTATCAACAATCTTACTCATAAAACCTTTCGCAGATATACAAGCTATGAAGATGATAAATACTTACGTACATATTTTAAAGATCTAGTCTAATGCTTCTTGGTTAATGTCAATTTAAAGTAGTAACAACCTTTAAGATTAATTTGTCACAGATCTCTTGATTGAATTAATGCATTTTAAATCAAACAGAGTGCAGTGAATTATTGTTCAAAATTTACATAAGAACTATTTTCTTGTTAACAAGATTCCAACGTTTGACAATCTGCAGTGAGCTCTTTCAGATCTCATCTTCATAATGGTTACCATCTCAAATATGATACATAAATAAATTGCAGTCAAGTAGTAGTAATTGGGCAGCTTTATTTTTATTCTGATAATTTCTCTATAGTGTCACATAAAAATTTGTTCGAGTAGAATTTTACATGTGGTTGCTTTTTTAAAGTGTCATGAACAGCATTATGTTATAGTTTCATTTTTGAACTCAAATTACTCTTCAATGAATATGTCCATTCATATTTTGTTATACCATTCAGTTATTATGTTTACATTTTAACTAAATCTACGCCCAAATTCTCAAGTGTTTTGAAATCATTTGAAAGTCTATGAGTGATCCATTCTACTGCGTTTTCAAGATACTTGAATTTATTGGAGAAAGTTATTAATTTGGAATATTTGACGCTTCGGATATTATCTCTGACTGCTTATATAGATTAGTGATAAGCATTTTCTAAATAGTTTTTCATGGTTACGGAAAATTATATTAAGAAATATTGGATATTGTAGTTATTGCTCATCTCGTCTTTTCCAATTCAGTAGTCAATCATAAGATATTTGGTATGGCGTCAATTTACTTAAATTTTTCGCCTCAAACAGTTAATTTTGATTGTTTATCTCGTACTAAAATAATGACTTCTTATAATTGGCGTTCAACAATTTGTTTTACCTACTACAATCGTTCCAGTAAACTGAATTAGAATATATATTTATGTACTTCTCTGTAGTTGAGTAAAACATAATGTAATTATATCCTATAGTAAATTAAAACTATGTGCTAGTTTAGAGGGAATTATCCAAAGTAAAATGCAAAACAATTCGTAAACATTATATTCATATATTCACAGGTACAAAGATATTTAACTGTAATAATCATTGCTATTTCGTAATTACATCAAGTAATAACGGATTCATTTTGACGGAAATGCTGTCAACAACAAAAAAAACACAACAATGGATGGAATTAGTTTTAGTTGATGAAGTGATCATGTTAAATGAAGGAAACTCAAAGTAGAACTTTCTTAATTAGTAACATTTTGAATGGATTACAATTTTATCTTATTTAACATGTGATGTACACCTTAAACCAAATATTTTGCATATTTTATGTATCTCATTAGAAATGGTGATTGCGCAATGTATGTTACGAAACGAAAATGAACATCACTAAGTGACAGTCATTGTTACATTATGTATTTACTGAAATCTATCAATCGTAGTTCTCTGTTTGAATATATATATATATAGCTAAATACTTAATTTTATTGACTAACAATGATGTCACTTTCCGCTGCAAGTTCAATGGGAATTCAAGAGAATTGATCATTTGGAGCCGTGGTTCAATAGCATTAGCAGGTTGATTATAAACTCCATTTACTATAATTCAGGTAGTTGCATAGTAGCACCAGGGGTTATAGTGCTATAAAAAAAGCAGTACAAATCCGAGGTCTTTTTTTATCTACATTAGATTTTTTTTACCTCTCTAAGATTATTTCCTCCATTGAAGGATATAACCAGAAAATTTTTGAATACCAAATAAATTTCTAAAAATCTTTTAACTTACTTGAGAATTTTTAAATTCCAAATATAAAGAGAATAATAAGTGTAATGAATGTATTCGATTATTGTAAATTGGAATGTCTAGAAGTGCTTTAAAAAGATGGAAGATTATTAGGTAAAGAAAGAGGTAATCGTTAAGAAATAAATGAATATAATTCAACTATTAGATTCTTATGATAGATTATCAAATGAGACAGTAAAAAAAAACACTATCAATTTTTTGTTCATTCTGTAAACAGTTTTGATGTTATAAATAAAGATAGCAGATTTGTAATATCCCAATGTGTAGAAAAATTAGATTTCCTGACAAAGTGCTTGAATTCGACTCTATTCACTTTTAACGGGATGTTATACAAACAAACTAATGATGCAGCAATGGTATCCCCTGTGTCCTCGATTGTAGCCAACCTTTTCATGGCACAGATAGAATCAAATATTTTCACCCACAACATTAAACCACGAATTTGGCTTAGATTTGTAGACGATACATTTACTGTGATAAAAAATACTCATCTAAGATCTTTTTCAAAAAGGATAAATACTCTTTCATCGCACATCAAATTCACGAATTAAAATGAATATGGTGAGCTACCATTTGTAGATTGCTTAGTGAAAAAAAATCTAAACGGAATTCTAAATCTATCCATCTACCGAAAGCTTACACACTAATCGCTATATTGACTTCCATTCTGCACATCCTTTCAGCGCTAGGATCTCGCTAGCCTTAAATCGTTTTAGAAGAGCTAACAAGATCATCACATCAGAAAAAGACAAACAAAAGAATGTAATTAGTATCTTACAATTTTCCTATGAAGATTATCAGAAGTATATGAAAGCAAGACGGTTCAGTAAGTAACAAAAATAATAATTCGGATGAAATGCCATGGATTGGTAATGCAGTTTTAACATACCGTCATGGCACAACAGAAGAACTCCAAAGTATCTTAACACAGAAATAAAGTATATTACAAAACAACGAGCACACTTCGAAATACTTAAGTTCGCTTAAAAGAAAAAAATTCCTTTCATGTCTACACAGAACTGCGTCTACAAATTAGGCTGTATCGATGTCTTCTATATTGGAGAGTCATCTGGCGAAATCTTGACTCGGGCCAAAGAACATATTAGTTACACAAAGAAACCTCCTAACAATCCCGTAGGACTGGATAAACTTCAAATTAAATCGGCAATAGCATTTCACGCCATTTTCAACGACCACCATATTGATTTCAAAAATATCAAAATATTACAAAAAGGCTTTTCCAATTACAAAGAAAAAAGAGTAGCTGAAGCGTTCCATATAATGCTTAATCCTACTTCTCTCAATAGAAAAGAAGGCCTTACCATACATCCTACTTGGACAATCTATCCTAGCCACATAGTCTGATTTTATTTACAACCCACATTATCCTTTCTCACCATTAAGGTTACACAATTTTTCTTCCTTAAAAAGTACACACATACATAAACACGAATTTACATACATGTCACTTAAGAATCACTTTGACCTAAATAACATGACATTAACTTGTTCAGACCTGTTTTTTGATCACATATTCTTCTTACTGTTTCGTTTTACTATTTAAACTTGGATTACTTTTAATTTGGTTATTTATTCTCTGAAGAAGTGGCTTACACTAAGTCACGAAACGTCATAAAATCTAATTTTTCTACTCATTGGGATCTTACAAATATATCATTTTTATTTATAACAATCTACCCGATGCTCAATTTATTCGCAATTATCAAGTCAAACCTTGGTAATGATATCTACAGATTTGAAGTTATCTAAATTTGTTCATGAGTTCAGTTGGAATGGACTTTAAATATCTGTTCCAATCAAACCACCACGAATATAAACTGTAGAAGTTGCTAGTTGATACAGATAGCTACAATTTTATGAATAAAACCTGTGAAAAATTATCCAGGTAAAAACAAACTTACAAAGATCATACAACTTCACGGTTATTAACTAAACTTGTAACTTTGATAATTAATTCGTTCATTTTAATAGTTATAAAGTCTTTGTGCAAATAGGAAGTTTAGGAAAAAGTAGAACACATACACTTTTATTAGTCTACAACACTTTATGATCTCTTCCCGAGAGTCCTTCCATAATGAGTAATGAATATTGATTCCTGTGCCTGTAATTATCGCAATTATTTTTTCACATTATCTAGTGAAGTTTTCTGAATCTTCAGAAGAAAACGTCTGTTATGTCCAGTAATAAGTGCGATATGCATATTTTTATTGGAATTATTTCTTTAGATGTTTTCCTGAAAAAATTAAGTCTTTTTATAATCTTTCAAGAGATCATGTTCATAACTGAATTGAATTTTAGTTTACATCATGGAATGGATTCAGTAGAAGCCTAGGAAAGACTGCACAGCTGTTTAAGATCTAGTATGTGTTTCATCAGAAGTGTATATTCACATTTTCACCATGAATCGAATTCAGGACTTCCAAAACTCACGGCGAGTGCTTGATCTTAAACTAAAATCGTCCGTAACAATGAGTGATGGTTGAGCATAACCTCGAACAAACTAACATCGGAAGCATACATCACTGAACGTCTAATGAGGTTAATCATTCTCCGTGAGGCCTGGCAGCTCTAGATTCGGTTCATGGGTGAAGATCCTTGAGAGTGTGGCGCTGAGGAGCCCCATACTAGGATGAAACGACCGTCTATTACTTCCTGGGATCTGGTTATCTAATTAAAGTCAGTCCATTACGTGAAACAAGTTTAATAATCTCCACAAACTGACATGATAAACAAATCGTTTCATTCGTGAAACTGATCGCAATAGTGAGTACATACGTACAACAAACAATTTATTGTGCAAATCGGTACATTATGACTGTATCGCGTTTGATTAGATGAGATTGGAACGCAACTGTGTACTTGTTAGTTGTATTGATAAGTTAACTAGTTCGGATTGACATGTTATAATCACTGTACTTGAGGGTGTGAACTTACAGTGACAGCAGCGTGCTGTACCTATTTTACGCATACCGTGGTAGCGCTTATCTCGATATGCAACACTATTCGCATTAAGTGAAGAGAAGAATAGATTTCAGAAGGATTAGAGCTAAATATAGTACTCATTTCTGAAATCATGAAATCTTTTTATAAGCTTTATAAGACAATGTGTACAGCTTAACTGTAACTCTTAATCTATTAAAGACTGAATATTTCAAATGAAATAAGTTAAAATCAAATCAATCAATAGTGATACATTATTCTTTTTCATCTTTCCTTACACTCTTCAACATATTGTTTCTCTACACATATTCCTTTGTCTAATACTTAAGATTATATATTTAGAGAAGGGTTTTTGTGGATATTATAAGAATTTCAATGGTTAAAATCATGAGTGAATTGAAGACAGATCAGATATTTCCATGGTGGTCTAGCTTCAATTCACTCATAATTACATAATTCCAACCGATACAATTATATTATACATTCTACAATATTCTGTTCGTTTATTTATAAGTATCAATGAAGTTTAGATGTAGTATTATGGTTGCATGAAAATCGTTCATTAACAACAGATTAGAGAAATTTCACATGAAATGTATAACATAAGATCATGATTCATAATTTGGTTACACATACCACAGATTATATCTACATAATCTTTTAAACTACAATCCAACTCAGATAGTGATAGTTGCATATTATTTATGGTTTCTTCAAACGATGTTGGCCATACAGCCATAAGTTCAGATATTTCTGGCATGTTTCTGTAAAAGTGGGAATAAATCATTTTTTTATAAAAATAATGTTGGTTTTTCATTTAAACTAACCAATGAATACTATGTTGTAAGCACATCCATTATACATATCTAAGAATAATATCAATATAACATTTGTCAATCAGTTAATGAAAGATTAGCTTCTGACAGACCTAAAAATAATATGATTTCAATGTTATCTTATTACCGTAAGAACTTATTACTGAAACTTAACATAATTATGGAAAGGTAAAGAGTTGATTATTCAACGGGATCTTAATTAAGCCCATTACCAGTTTACCTCTTATCGACTAGAATTAATTAATAGATGCAAAATGTTATCAACAGTAATCTTGTGCTCACTAGTGATTGATTTCGGAAAATAATTTCAGGAGACCTACTGATAAGTCGCAATCACTAAAGCTGAACTACATTAGATATTATTCAGTTATCTGACAATGGGATTGAGTGATAGTTGCGCAATACAGTGAATTGACTGAAGTTTTAAATACAAATCACTGAATGCTAACTCACCAGTCTTAAAGTCAAGCCCTTGGTACAAGTCTTGCGGTTCCTAGCGGCAACTCTTGATAGGGTTGTGGATATGCATCGCTGAAGTGTCTCATACAAGAAAGAAACATCTGTCCAATATTTCCTGATTTTCAATAGTTACCTACCTCTATTCACTCAATGATGTGAACTATATATAAATTTCATTAACATAAAACGGGAAATTGAATTTGATATGGTTTTCTATCTGCGAACTAAAATATGGCAACACTTACTCATTAAATAATCAGATAGCTACCTATATACCGTTCCAGGTCTTCATTGGTTTTTCTTCAAGTAGTAATCAATCTCATGTAGGTTTAGTCCTTATTACTCTAAATGGACTCTATCAAAAAAGCTACAGTGTAGTAACTATTCATTGGATGATTGTTGAGTTTTAATTGAGATCATGAACCAATCAATATTATACCATCATTGGAAATTCGTAAGTAATGGATAGCCTATTCTTCCTAATATGGGACTCCTTAGCAGTGCATATTTATATCAGTCAACAAGTTATTGGCTTAAAGTTTTACATTATTTTGCTGTAAGTGCACTATTATGTATATGTAATCTACTCACCTTGTATAGTGTACAGTTGGTGCAGGTTTGGCTCTATACAAATCTGTTATACTTTTAATCCAATTTTCTATGACTTTTGTTTGTTGTTCAGCGTTTTCAATACTTTTAACTATCTAGAATTTGTATTTTTTTTTGAAAAAAAAGAAGAAAAATCAACTAAAACTACGACTCATGGTTTCTTGTTATCTAAAAATTAACTGAAAAAAGATTGTTTATCACTCTACCCATTTTGAATGTTGCTAACTGAGATTTCGTCATAAATCAAAACGTTGATTAAAGCACTACCCCGCAAAAACATTCATTAACCCTATAAGATAATTGAAGATTCAGAAAAAAGTATAAGGATATCTACCAATCCACAATTGTTTACTCTTTTCATACTGTATATCCTTTGTTTCTATAGTCATTAAAAATACAATCGTTTTATTGCTTTTTCTTGATATTTTACAAAACCGATTTACTGCTCTGTGTTTTTATGAATGTTATAAATATATTTATATTTAGTAATACCATAATATAATAATATTTCTGAGTAGGATACAATGTCTTTGATTCTTCTTCGGCCACATCTAGGGAGCATATGGTCTTTATTCTATAATGACGTGTTTTAACCAGGTTCCTTTTATATTATTGTGGAATACAACTAAGGACACTTGTATGTTGGCCAACCCAAGTAGTTTTCTCGTTTAAGTTTCGTCTTAGTGACCGATCTATTCTCTTCATAAGCAATACATTTAGAAAAGCTATTCTATCTCTGTTTTCTTCCTCACATGTGGATTTAATAGACGGATGAATTTCATCAAATCTCTGGGTTATCTTCATCCGGTTAGTATGGTGGTTAAAAAGGATGAAATTATCGTCTATATATCAATAGTAAAAGGAAGACTTGTCAGTATCCTGTGTTAATGAACCGTTTTCTAGTTTAGTGATAAAAATGTCAGCTAACTTGGGACTTAGTGGTGAGCCTATCGCAACACCATCTATTCGTCTATATATTTCGCCATCGAATATGAAGTTAATGTTCGTAGTACATTTTAGAAATAATTTCTTAACGATATCCACATGGATTGTAGTCTCTATTTCCTCTTCTGTAAGTTATTCACAGATAAATTCAATATTCTCCCTGAGTGTAGTATCGGCAAACAATGATATTCGATTCATAGTCATAAAACATCCTAGTAATTTCAGTGAATTAGTCTTGAAAACTGACATATTTATTCATGATGGCAATCAGAAACTTCATTCCTGATAATGTGAAATGAATTATTAGAAGTCGAAAAAACATAATTTATAAAGTTCTTGATTCTTAGCCGAAGACCTCATGTTCACTGGAGATCCAAAGGTATTGGGTTCGAACCAATATGGTATTATACTAGGATAAGACAGCCATCCGATTTTTTTCAGATTTTCAATGGTTGTCTAACTTAAATCAATCTATGATCTCAATACAACTCAAAAATTCCCACTACCCCCGTATTGATATTTTAATTTATTTTAAAAAACTATTTTCAAAGCATTACAACCACCAAAAAGCCCATAAGTAAATGATAAATTAAATATTAAACAATAGCTCTATGCGTAATTGGTTTAAAATCTGAATACCAAGAAAATAATTTGTTATACCTTATGACCTTGTGCCCTATTAATATATAACGTAATGATATCGCTGACTAGAGAACAGTGACTTATCTATCGGACCAATGTCGCATAAACCCGTACGAGCAATCTAGCGTCCTTATCAGTACTTTTCGCCTAACCCTGCTTGTTGAGTTCAGAACACCGATCTCAGCCTCCGTGATATGAATCATTTCTTTCAAACATATTGGGTTTATATACAAACCAAACACACCACATCGCACCATAAATTAGAAAACAACATTTATGCAAGATCTAGCCAAAAGTGGCTGTGAATTTGGGAGACTGTAATTAATAAACTGGGCATAACTTGAGAATAATAAATCGTATAATATTAGTCTATGGGTCAAAATAAAGCTCATAATACGAGGAACATGAATATGCATAGGTTAGTTGCCTAACAATTATCCAATAAAAATATATGAATCGTATTTCTCATAAATAGATTCTGACAGTTACCATCTATTATTCTCGTTGGGATACATCATAATTCAATGAAGTTATTTAATTAAAAAAATACGAATAGAACTTACTACTTGTTTTGTTGCAGTTTGCTTTGACAAAGCTCTCAATTGTAAATTAAGTACTGTTGGATCTGACTGATTAGCACATGGTTCATCCAAGACCAATAAACCTAAATAATCTGGTTTACCATCTGGTCTGGGCACCTATTTCGTTAGAATTAAAATGTATATTTAAAAACATCAGTTAAGATGTTAAAAAATAATTTAAAGTTGATAGAAATTTATCAAAACCATTTGAACTATCCGCTTATAGATTTTTAAATGATCTAAATAGACGAAGTAAAAATGTACGCTGTTTCTTCAATGTATTCATACACTGTTTAAACAAACTATATAAAAACATAGAATTATGAATCTGAATATGCATGCAGTGAATGAAGCTGAAAGATTTGCCGTATGGAGTTTACTTTTCATTGCATAAATAGAGCTTCAAATATATTATGAACATTGTACAAATAGCACAATGTCACATTTATACGCTTAATGGTAGTCCAAGTTGTAAAAACCAATAAAGACGTTTAATACCTTAGATGGCTAAAAAATTAATCCGTAGGGAGAACAAAATTTTATTCTGGTTGATATTCATTATCAAGTCACTTCTGTATTATGTAAGAATTTGATTGTTCAACAGTAATTGCTTGAATTTACTCCTTAAAAAAAATATAAAGTAATTATTTGTTTAACAATTATTATCTTCAGATATTTACTCATTCGGCAATCTTATGTCATCAATTCGATATTTGGCAGTAGTCATCATTTGGTCATTGTATTCACTAGGGTACATACTCATGAAAATAACCAACTCTTGCTGTATTTTCACACACAATCTCCTTACGCATTATTATAACATAAGTAATCTGAATGAAAGATATTTCAGATAGAATAATACAATTAGTTTAAACTATCCACTTATCTGCTATGAGAATTATAAACTATTTTAGTAACAAGATTTATCTGAAATATTGTTTGAAAACAACAACTAACTTTTAAAAATGCATCAATATCTCCAACAGCTGGTATATAATCAGGAATGAATGGTTTCAACTTTGTTTCTAATTCGATTGTTTGAGGTGTATATCTAAGTTGAAGAAAAAACAAAAAAATAGAAGCATACAGGTATCAGTGTTAAAGTTTTATTTATTTTATTTATTTAAACACATAAACATTGGTACAAGAAGGCACCAAATAGATATGCATCACATAAATCATTTGATTTGTGTGAGGGATGGGATACTGCCCGGGTGCCAAACCGAAGCAAGTGGTTTTCTTAGGAGGCTACACCCCAAGCCTTTGACCTAAAGGTCTAGTCCACAAGGAATTGGAGCAACGTCAGGAGATGCAGTTACATCGTAGCCTGTCACCAACAACAGGTTCATACGTCATTTGTTTCTTTCAGGATCCTGGAGCCCACGTGCACTTTTGGTTTGGAATCAGGGCTTTCCAACTCCCCTTGGTGGATTCTCCGTGTCCACCAACCCAGATAAAGCACCGGATTTTCGCTTTTTATCCTTTCAATTTCGTAAACAACACCCCCGACACACCCCGGATTCCATTGTAGAGCGTTACTGAACATGTGACTAAATAACATTATCTAGGTAATCCACTCAGAATGACTACATGTCAATGGAGACTGGTCAACTGTAGTCCGTAATGCTAAGGTTGAACTTGATAATTTCAGATAGTTTAAATATTTTTATTTTATCCTATTGAGTAGAAAATTTTTATTTCTGACGTTTCGTGACTTAATATAAGTCAATTCTTCAGAGTACATACAATTTTTCTCCTCATTGAGATATAACAAAAAATTTTCGTTAGTAAGAGGACTGGAAAAAAATATATCAATTTAGATTAATATAATTTATTTTATAAAGGAATATTTGGTGAGATTATAATTTATGGACGACCTTTGAGCGACTCTAAACTGAACTTGAGAGTGTCCACCTAATAACCAGGACGAAATGAGGGTTATAAACCTGTGTGAGGAATTGGAATTACAATTTACAGTTGATGATTAAGCTAAGGAATTAGATTTAAGGTTTTCATCACGAACTGACATCAGCTATAATGCCAACACTCTATTTATCGCGCCAAAATCAGAGATCTAATATCTTATGCGTGATTTGTTCGTCCATAAATTATAGTCTCGCCGAATATTTTCTTATAAAATAAATGTGTTCGAAGTTACCTTTGAATATATTCAAAAATTTCTTTAATTTCAGACGATACAGTCAAATGTTCATAATCGGCCGGATTGTAGACACTAAAAAGAACGATGAAAATATTTGGTCAAGAGAAAATTCTTGTCATCTTCAGTTATTACTATCTTATACTCATAACTGTTTAGTAAGTAGTAATATATGGGTTTTTCGCACTTTTATGCAAATAACTACAAAAGTTCTAGAATGAAATTGAATTTGTCGTTTGAAATTCCGTTTATTTTGATATTACCCAATATTATGAAGTCACAGTTTGGTTAAATATCATATTTAAAAGATTGAAACAAATTTTATTATTTGAACTCAGTAGCTCAGTTGATGAGATGTTGAAGTTGAAAAAGAAAGTTACTAGTATCAAGTCACAATGTGAACATTAATATCAGGATCCAAATGCACCAGCCGACAAGTCCCACGTAAGACGAAACGGACACCCTGGATTTCATTGTATACCGTTATCGAACATGTGATAAAAAAAACATTATCTAGGAAATACCCCCAGAATGAATACATGACAATGGAGACTGATCAGCTGTAGTCCGTAATATTAACAACGTGAAGATACAAATCCATACAAATAAATATTACTTATTTTCTAAATATTTTGGAAATTTTATTTTACATATGAAAATACGAAATCACCCAGAAGATATTTCTTCGTACAACCATTTCCTCGTTTTCATGACGGAAATATAAAATCCTTTGAGTTCTTGACATTTCCAATTTAGTTATTATCATTATATTACAGAAATTTAGCGATCAGTGAGTAGTCATGTAGTGTGTGCTACTGATGTCGACAGATATAAGTAGTATGTATCAGCACTCGAAAGTGGAATGCCTGGAGGCAGAAGGCTAAGACGATCGAATAAAAGAGAACAACAACAGAGAGTGATAGGTGTGGGAATGAAGGAACAATAAAGTCCGAGACGATTGATTAACATTTTGCAAATGCAGAATTTACTGTGTGGTTCTCATATTTTACTAAGATATTCTGTAATTGTAACTTCAAATACATTCGATTCGTGCACTTGGCTTTAAATTACTCGTCATGTGAAGGTTAGTGATACTACCAAGGTGTTCAAACCGAAGTAGGTGGATTGTGATTTAAACTATCAACTTACTGGTTTTATTCCGAAGGCCTTAACCACTAAGTCATCTATCAGTTATAATCGGTTTTCAGTTATTCAAATTTAAATTTTCAACCATCTATTTTATTTCCCGTTTAAAGTTATATCTAGCGAAGGGAAACTAATAATCAGTTATTTTATTAGTATAATATTGCACTTTGATTTAGTTTCTTTGTTGCTTTTCAAAAGTTTATTAATATTTCAGCAAACAAACGAAACCTACAGACTATCGATACTTACATAGAATAAATAAATCCCTATATAGAATGTTCTCTGTTTTGTAAATTTGACATACCCTTCAATGACATCAGGGATATTAGAATTTTCATCATCGTCATCATCATCTTCATCATCATCGTCGTCGTCATCATCATCATCATCCTCATCCTCATCATCGTCATCGCCGGAACTATCTAAAAACAGTGAAAATAAATTTAAAACTACGATGATTAAATGTTTATTTTATTAATTGAATTACAATTTATTTCATTACTTTAAGTTTACCACAAAAACTTATCTATACTTATTAACCAATGAATGACTTAACTGTTCATCTTGTATTAACTTTACTAAGAATTATATGAAGTTGTTGTAAAGATTAAAAATGCACATTTTATTTTACATGTTACCTACACAAATGATTTAAATTGAAACCAAACTATGAAAAACTGACCAGTTAACTAACTAACTATCATCCTTTTATGTTCTACAAGCAATCCATTATCAACAAAACTGGAAGATATAAATAATCTAATGATTATTTAGCCAATTAATTACTTATTTAAGCATGTTACTCCTAATGGAGCATAGGCCGCAGACCAGCCTTCTCCAACTCACTCTGTCCTAGGCCTTCCTTTCTAGTTCGATCCAATTCTTGTTCATTCTTCTCATCTTTGTCTCCATTTTTCGACGTAATGTGTCCTTTGATCTTCCTTTTTCCCTTTGGCCCTGAGGATTCCATGTGAGGGTTTGCCTTGTGACGCAGTTGGGTGCTTTCCTCAATGTGTGTCCTGTCCACTTCCAGCACTTCTTCCTGATTTCTTCTTTCACTGGGATCTGGTTTGTTCTCTCCCACAGTTGATTGTTGCTAATAGTGTCCGGCCAACGGATACGAAGTATTTTGCATAGACACCTGTTAATAAACACTTGTATCTTCTGGATGATAGCTTTCGTAGTTCTCCAAGTTTCCGTCCCATACAGTAGAACTGTCTTGACATTTGTATTGAAAATTCTGACTTTGGTGTTGGTTGACAGTTACTTTGAGTTCCAGATGTTCCTCAGTTGTAAGCATGCTGCTCTTGCTTTGCCGATCCGCGCCTTCACATCTGTATCAGATCCTCCATTCACGATTTTGCAGTTTAATCCATCACAGGGATTCTGTATGATATATACGATCTTCTGAGGCACGCCGTAGTGTCGAAGAAGCTTCCATAGTGTTGTTCTGTCCACGCTATCAAATGCTTTCTCGTAGTCAATGAAGTTGATGTAGAGCGATGAATTCCATTCAAATTATTGTTCCACAATGATTCGTAGTGTTGAAATTTGGTTTGTACGTGATCGACCCTGAAGGAATCCTTATACAATTAATATTCATACCTAAATCTGTTTTTCATTTATATATCGGTCATATGAACAATCAGAGTACTTAATGTGTGAAAATAATTACACGGCTTTCATACTTTCATCTCTTTATGATAATTAATCAGTAATAAAACTTAGTGAATCAAATAAGATTCTTAAGTTCCTTGCTTGAACTGTCAAAATAGCAATGTTATATTTTAATTATTAGTAGTTCATTAATCGTTAGTTAGCGTTACATTTACTCCATCTTTATTCATTATTTCAATTAATTAAAAATAAACAGTGATATATGAAAATTAAACCAACCTTGACTACTTAATTTTTCGTTGTTTGACTTCTTTTCGATGATTGATTTTGGTGCAGTCTAATAAGGTTAGAGAAAGAAAGAGAAATAAAATATTAAACTTTAGTACTAACAAGAATGATTTGAAATTATTTAAGATCACAGAATAATATCAGACGCAGAACCTTCAAAAATGAAGTAGTAATTAATCGGTGTTTTGTTATAGTTCTGAACTTTTGGACATTTTGTGCCTATGATCCTCTACAAGGTAGAACCATGAACCACTAAGTGTCGTTGTACACGTTGCGCCAATAGACAGTTGAGTTAGAATTAGGCTCTAATGGTGTTATACAGAACAATAATGGTTAAACTATTCAGCCTAGAGAAGTGAACACAATTGGTATCATCTACTTGAGTTACTGATCTTTTCGGTATCCTGTAATTCTAATTCCAGTCAATTTGTAATAAAAAGTTATTCTCACCTGAAGATATTTATGAAATACTGTTTTATTCCTGATTTAATTCCTTACGACAGGTCATGTTTTATTATTAGAGCTTGATGAAATTTTATCTCTATGCTAATTACTAACAAATCCCCTTTTTTACCAATTTTTCAGCTGAGTAGGTGAAAAGTGACTATAAACTGCAAGAAATCTCTACAGAACAATTATAGTCTATAAACAAATATAATCAAACAATGCTAAAAATGTTTTTACTCGTAGAATAATAACTAAAACTTATAATGTAAAGCAATTAATGTCTACTTAAAAAATACATCTTTTCAACAAAAATTAAAGTGAAAGAATAGATAAAAAAGGAAAGCGGCATGGCTTACCTTACTTGATTTATTTAGTAATTCATTCTTTATTTTTCTTAATGATTTATTGTCATCTCTGTGAGAATCTAAATGATCAACTAGATAAAAAGAGCGACGAAAAAACAGATTAAGCGAATAGATTGTAGTGATTAAAGATGTCAATTATGAAGTGCTTAAAACGTTTAGAACTGAGGAGAGTTTATTGTACTACGGTATAGTGTAAATGGAAGATTGTGTTTACTTTATACTCCATATGATGGATATATGGAAAATGAGACAATAGAAAGGAAAACGAAGAGCAATCAAAATAACAACAGGATAGGGAGAATGGTGAAGTGTACAAAGGACAACTGAAGGAAGATATACAAATGATGTATTTAATACATGATTTTCATATTTTACAGAGTCACTGTGTGATTTTGTTTCATGGTGTCATTTCGTTAACCTATCAGGAATTCCGTCCACAATTACTCAGGAAAATGTGAGAAAACATTTAAGAGACTACTTATGATCTGAAGAAATATTTAAGGATATATTAAATTCTTGAACGCTTGAATGTCTCAGCAAAATCGATCTCAAAGATACAGAAAAACGATTGTAAGCTTTAAAAAACCATGTGTCATATATCGCTACCATATATATCCAGATTCTATCATATTATAGCTACGGATTCTTTACTTTTACGGCAATAACGGGGCATAATGCTCCCTAGGTCACTTTCAACGTCTCCCATGGTTGTTAGCATGGTACAGTTTCGCTATAAACATCAACGTTGTGTTCAGTATTTCATTCCATAAGGTAAATAATAGCAACATTTTTATTTAGTCAAATTTGTGAGAATTCATCATAATAGGAAGATGATTTTCACATAAAACCGTTGTTGAAGAACAGTTGGTGACCATAGGGAGTTGAACGGCAGGCTTATCCTAAATTTAAACATTCCAAGAATATATGTCCAAAATGTCAGTCAGTCAATTAGTCACAAGCAAAGTGAGACCAAGCACAAACGTCCATCAATTCACGCCGCTACGCTGCATCACCACGAGCCGAAATTATCAAAATGAATGCCAAAATAGTATAAATAACAGTAGCGTTAGAGTGATATTGAAAAACGATATTAGGCATGAAAGTTATGTTTAAGTAAACTTCAGAATATAACGGGCAAGATATTTTTGGAACACATGACCTAAGGAAAGACAAAACCCTTATTTATTTGTACCACTGTCATCAGTTTTAAATCATGACGCTTGTTATCCCCAACTCCTAGTTACGATGGTCTGGGTCTATCAACATGGCTTAGTTCAATAGTCAGTGACTTGATAAAGTGATACCAGGATTCCACATGAGGTCGAATCCAGGACTCACGTTGTAGGTGCCCATTTCTCAGAAGTCTCACGCAAAAACGAAATAGTCATTCAGTCTACCTTAGTTTATAACGGTCTTCTAGCATTTTCCATATATAACAAATATGATCGTTTACTGCATAAAGACTAAAATATCACTATTGATTTCACTAGAAAATAAGTTTTGTCAAAACTTATCATAAAAAATCAAATCTTGTGAGACTGCATTCTTCATAGATGTTCTCTCCTAGTATGTAATAATAAGAATAATCTATGTAATGAAACCATTACGGAGCTTCTAGAATGCATGGCTTATATATTTTCATTTAGGCATTGAGTTGAAATCCAATTTATCAAACTCATTATTCATCATAAATATTCTTTCAAGTATCAATATTAAGCAAACAGTAAGCAAAAGAGTGTATCTACTGTTTTTCATATATATATATATATATATATATATATATATATATATATATATATATATATCGTGATTTTAATTAACAATCGATTTTTGCTTGAACATATAACAAGATATAGTTTCACTTAATAAAAAGCCGTTAAACAGGACTTTACCTTTCATTCTTATGTTTGTCAAAGTACCTCTTGAAAATGGTGGTATTTCCCAAAGTCCACATGCAAAACGTACTACATTGCTATTAGTTTTTGGCAGTTTTGAACTGAAATTACTTTTTCAATATTCTAATTATGATCCCTTACTTTTACTACTGCTGAGGCATACTTTCTCTAACAAGTTTCTTAGGGCTCTGAAATTCTAAGACGTTTTATATTTCTGGGGTCATCCTAATTATTTACCTCATAAACCTTTCATGGTAAGTCCAATATAATTTTATTAGACAAGGAATGACTTTTAACTCTGAAGTAGCCCTACTTAAGGACGAAAACAAGACGTTCTCGGTATTTATCGTTTAAAGTGTATGGTTCTATAAATATATTATTTTATAATCGAAACATACTGTAAGTATATTTTCATATAAAAAGATTAAAAAATTCGTCCTGGTCCTGAATCAGCAAACAATAAAACAGAACCTAGAAATTGACTGATGATTATTTCATCCTACTTTCTATATATTGGAACTTTCCTGGGATTAAACTGAGTGCATTTAAGACTGCATTTAGTTAGCTAAGAAGATATGACCACAGAAAACATATTTTGTAAAGGCAAAAATTGATAGGTCTTATCTTTATCAAAATAATTCCGATTCGTGTTATCACGCCTGCTTTATCTCCAGTTTTCTTGTTTAAAACATTCTCGAAAGCAGCAAGAAGTTAGGAGTTCTAGCTGTCTTGTTGCTTCAAATTCCTTCCCTAAATTCGTTTCATCACTAATCATACTGACAGTGAACTAGTAGTCGATAAGCAAAAATAGTCTCACGTTCTTAATACTCCCATCAAAACTTTGGCGTAACGGTTGTTCTATGGTCGCATTATTCGAGAAGCCTGCACAGTCTTCAATTAGGTCCATAATTAAATCGTAAAGAGTTATTTTTCAGCTAGATATATTTCTCGACATTACTCAACTTTCCATCGTTTTCCTTCAAGTTGTTTCATGTTCTGCCAAAATCTTACCAACTCAGTTCGTGTATTTACTGGACAAGCCAAGTAACAACAGGCAATTTATCTCAAAACAAAATACGTTCATGAATAGTCAAAAATTACCTCGAAATCTATCAAAATTTTCAGCAATAGACTGTTGCAGTCGTGGTGTTGCTATATCTTCTGAATCTGGCACATCGACTGTTTCGTCGTATGGTTTATCCATATATCTGCGCATTTGAAAAACGTGGGATAAATCTAAGCAGTACAGTCTTAATAGTATATATATATATATATATATATATATATATATATAATGTTCGCAGTTTAAAAACATCAAAGAAACGTTCCAAAGCACAGTTTTGTATATAATTATATTTCCCATAGGTGTTTACCAGGTGTACCGACAACATATTTCACTCCACGTAGCATACAATTCCATTGATTTTTAAATCAAAAAATGTTAGGTATTACGCATATTGTTAGCAATATCAACCATTGAGTTTCAAATAATATAGATTATATTCTTCAGTATCAATAAGTTATTATATTCTATAACAGGTGTCAAAAATGTAGTACTTTTAGCACATTTGATTTTCGCAAGACTTGACCTAGGCAAAGTCTTCACCTTCTTATTCTTTCTTTTTCAAAAAGCACAACTAGATGTATCCCTTGTTTTATCAAATAGATCGTGAAGGTTGATCTCAAAAATTAATCTAGGTCGGTGGATTCCCAAGCTGCCAAATTTGGGGAAATTTTGGCCCTTTTGAGGGAAGCCACTATAGTAAATTTTGGGAAATTTCGGGGAAATCCTCAAAGTGAAATAGCCTTCCCCAAACTTTGGGAAGTTTCCCCAGAATTCCCCAAAATTTCCCCAAAGTTGGCAGCTTGGGTTACTTGTTAGAAGAACCGATTTTAAAGAGCAAGATACACAAGATTACTTCAAAACGTCATAGATTTAAACAACTTCTGACTGAAAGATAAAGAGTGTGTGAAAAATGTACCTTTCACTTTAAAATCAAAATGTCTAGCTTTGTCACTAGACTGAAGATCAGTAACTCAGTCCTAGGACTTGATATTATAAAAAGCAGTTCTGGTGAAATCCTATTGCTAGCAAGTTAACGGCAAAAAATCACTTTTCAAAAAAGAGCTACCTAACATCAAGATAAGAGAACAAGGAAAGTAAGTGGTATTTACAAGCTTCTCACAAAGACATCAGTATCCCAATCTCCAGATTTGGGGGTTTTCCCCGAGTACTAACAACAGTTGGCAGTTTTTCCTAAAGTTTTGGAAATTTTCATAGACCTAACGAAGTTTCAGGGCTATATTTCTATTAGCATGAAACAGACAGTGTCCGCCAAAATAAAGATACTGAGATCCTTGAAATCTATTCCGGATATACTAGATAAGCTCTTTTCAGGCCTTAGTTCTCAAAATCTGCTTAACTGTTGGAAATAGTAGTATATCGTGTGCAAGATTTTCAATAACTAGGTCAAACAGATGAATAAATATTTGAATTAAGGTTATGACAGTTGTAAGTCAATTGTCTTTTATAAATCTACTTAAAGCCTTGTTACAATGAAAAAACCAGACAAATGCATTCTTATGAGTTATTTCCACCTTGAGTGAGTGAAAATGATTAGTAGATTGCCATATGGTATTTGTTGGGAGGTATTTGAACACGCCCACGACAGCGTAGTTATGACTTCAGTATTCAAACTTCAAACATTTTTAGACAGGCTGTACAACCACTTTATTTCTTGTAGTCTGCATCTTGGTAGCATAAAGTAGCTCTTGGGCGCAAGTTTGTATAATCTAAGTTTTATTCTAACGAAAACTGAGGAGAAGATACATGACGTAACAATGAGTTGAGTGGTAATTATGAGATGGTTCAAATTGTCTAAATGATTGTGGACGGAATAGAAGAAGCTTTCGCCTGACGGGCTTCCGTGTCTAATAGCAGTGGATCATCAATGCCTCTAGGCAGGAACCTAGGTACATTAACGACAGTAGAGTAAAAACATATTGGTAAATCATAGTACGATATTATCGTTAGTCTTTAAGAATAGGTCAAGGTTCCTCTTAAAGGACTCTTAGGAAATCGCTTGGAATAGCTCAGCTGACAGCGAATTCCAGCAACTCTTAAGGAGTAGAAGTTGTGTCTACAGTCCGTCCTGCTGTGTTGTGTCTCCAGTTTGTAGGTGTTATTCTCTATATTTTTGTGGTGGAGCTAAACCGAAGTAGGCGTTGAAGAGGATGCCCAGAAGTGTTGAGAATTCTGTAAGCCATTAGAAGGTCACCTCTTGGACTCCTGTGCTTTAATAGTCAAAATCTTGCATTTGAGTCTGCGAACTGATATTGTGGCTGGCCGTCAGATACGTTCCAGTGTATCAGTATCCTTTGAGAGTGGTTCCTTACTCTAGATAGGGACGAATGAAACGGTTGGAGATTATGTGAAAAGGTCTTCCGTCAAAACGGCCAAAAATAAGCTTCAATGTTACTAGTGCAAAGTTTACCTGAAAGGCATTTTTGTTACAGCGTAAGACATCTAAGCGTTGGATACCAGGATAATTCAATATTTTTCAACTTGAGATACTTCTAGAGAGGAGTCACCTAAGTTGTAGCTGTAGTCTACAAAATGTCCCGGATGGACCGCTTTATCTTTTGTGGAAGGTCGCTTATAAAAATCAAGAAAAAAAGAAATATTAGTACTGAACCCTGAGGACGCAAATAGAACATTTCATAACCTGAAAGAAATTTGAGTTAGCCCTGACCTTAAAATGTCGATTTTTGATATATGAAGCGAGCTAATCATTTGAAAGTGATTTGATATCTGATCGTTTGGGCTGACTGATAAGGCGTACGCGTCCATAAATTATAGTCTCACCAATGAACCTTCCTGAAACCGTGCTGTTGTAGTTAAAGAAGTTTAAGGATAATAAATAGTCGTTTAAACCGCCGCATATCAGGGAATCCATAATTTTTGAATGTGCAGAGAGAAAAGCCACTCATCGGTAGCTTGATGTTTTGCTGCGTTGACCTTTTTTGAAAATTAATAATGATAATAATACTTTATTCTCAAATAACAGCTTGTTACATGAGGCATGCCAGTTTACAAGCAATATCAAATTGTTACAACAATACAGTTTCCACTGAAGTAAATTACTCAGCTGGTCGATAATTTACAAGATATGAATATAGATGGTTTTAGTCAGTGTCACCGTTGGCGCGCTTCATGAAAGTCGCGTTGCGAATGTGCAACTGATGGTCAAGGATAGATCTATTGAAGGTGGTAGCTTCTAGAAATCGAAACCTTATGTCCCTTTGGAATATCTAAGGCTTTAGAGATTGTGCAGGATGAATTCACCCGTTCCATATCTCACGGGGGCTGAAAGAGGGAGCAAGTAAAAGAAAGGACGAGAGGCAGAGTAGGAGTGTTTTTAGGTATGATTACTCAGTCTAATTTTCTTTCATTAAGGTATGGGTGGACATACAACTGACAAATGGAGGCGATTCCGAAGGGAGCTGAGAGTATGGGATTATGTGTGGATATAAAATATAGTGCTAAAAACAGTGATGTTATCCAGCTTCCAAATTTCTGGTAATGTGGCCCGGCCTAGCAAGCGTGACAACATTACACCGAACAGTGTTGCAAGTATTGAAGTTGCTTCCATCAGTATATCAGAATGGACAATATCCGGACACGAACTGTCTTTTTTAAGTGCTGCAGTTCCCCGTACACTAAATCGGCTTTAGGGTTCACTTCGGAAAGTCCAGTGAAGTTGCAGATGAAGCTTTCATCAATATAGTTAGCTTGGGTCGGTCAAAATGTCCGAGAGTAGTGTTCATCTAGAATATTAGTGGCATTACCGTTAGGATCTTACAGTTGGAAAACTGAAGTTTTGGCTTATCGAAGAGAGACTGCACAACAGAATAAGTTTTTTGGATTGGAAACAAATTTATCAATAAGCTTTATCTGGTACTGAAGCCTAAATACTCTTGTTGCCTTCATACATATGTTTATTATTTCTTTGTTTTGCCTACATGTGCCGTTGTTACATCGTTTATATTCTGCCCAACAGTAACTTTTGCGGCTTAGCAATCCAAGAGTGCGATTTCGGATAACTGCATGTTGCTTGTAAATCTTAAGAACTGTTCGCTGAACAGAATGCTTTGTAGCACATAAAATCGTGTGTGGTAGGAAATTACAATGAGCATCCACATCAAAATGAGAGGGAATTTCCCAGTCCACCCGCTGTAGATTGTCCTGTACAACTGATAAATCTAACCGTTTGAAATCCCAGTGCCTGTTGTTAAGGGGATATATCAGCTTAGTTTTGCTGATTAAACTGAAAGCTATGATGGCGTGATCATTTCACTACACTACCAGTTCCCGTTCATCTGTCATTGTGAAACAAAGACATCCCGGATATTTCTAGCCGCTGGTCCGTAAACTGAGAAGATATCTAAATTTCAGACATTACGATCAGATGAGCATTATCAGTACTACTGAGTTCACATAGCTAATCTATTTTATTAAGTGAATTCACGGTGCTCATGCATAAGTAGTTTATGATTTCATTTTGAAGTGCGTGAGCTTCCTAGTCCTGTTCGTCTGTATGTGTGAATGGATAGGTAGCCTATCCATACAAGTTTCTGCTAGTTGGCAGTCCCCGTCCTTCCCACATTTTTATTATCTAGACCGTCCACAAGTGGAATGACCAGTCCCAACTGCCTTTGTACCTGATCATGGCGTCTTATTGCCTATCCGGATTTATGTGGATTCCACTTGGCAACCGGCGTCTGTATGTACGAAATGCTTTCAGTGTCGCAGTTGCCGTATAGAAGGATGGGAAGATTTTCTTCATTAGCCCGGGTCTAGAATCTCTGTCCTTCTTGGCTAGTCTCGTCACATGTTGAGTCAGTATGTTTTTGAGCCTTAAGGATTGCTTGATGAATTTCCATTCGCTAATATCAGAGTGTGTTTGTCCAGGGTCTGTGTTTTCCGGTACACCTTACACAACAATATTTCTTCCACGGAAAAACTCCTCGTCAGATTGCGCTCAAAATACGGTATATCAGGCAGTATTCTTGCATTCTCATGATTTCATTAAGTGGCTAGCCGTTTGTATATTCTCTACGTCGATAGTGTTAGTATGTTCTTCACGAAGTAGTCTATGGTGATTTTTATGCTGAGCGTCCTTTCCCCGAGCGAGCCGTGTGACCGCCAAAGGCTCTTTTTGGGGGAAGTTTGAGCTTCTTGTTTAACTCTTTCCAGAACATCCCATGATGTTTGTCCTGCAAACTGATGGCAAGTTCTTTAAGGTTAATGGTTAAGAGAGAATCATCGCAAATCATAATCGTTTTCTCAGGTCTTGGAGTACGTTCAGGTTGAAGACCTTGTTTTTTTGGAGGTCAGAGCAAGTTTTGATTCCTGTGCTCCTCGCTGACCGGTTGGACAATCTCGAGGTTACACTGTGCGGCCAAACTACCAGTTGAATTCACTACGGTGACGCCTGGTCCTTTTTAAATTTGTTAACGGATTTAGTCACCTACATAGATTTGGAGAACCGCCGTTGCATCCATTATTCTGTGCTGGGAGACCAAATTCTGCTGAGAGAATCTAGTTTCATCAACGTTAAGATCATGCTGAGTTTCAGAATGTCCTCACAAGAATTATTACTTGCTCCATCGATAATAGATTTGTCGAAATCCCTCTTTTTTTCACTGCGCGTTATAGGACTGATTATTTTAGGTTTGCTGACAACTTATTCCACATATCTTTCAAGAGAATGATGTTTAGCAAAACCTCAGCATTTGTGTTGCATGTGACATATACACATCTATGATCCGGCCTACCGAGTCTGTTGTAAACAATTACTATAAGGTAATAATTCATCATTAGAAAGAGACGATGATGTTATTAGGAATTCCTCCAAACTGGGAACACCTACTAGTCACAAGTAGAAGGGTTTTAAAATTTGCCGCCGAACGACGTGTTGAAGTTAACTTTCATGTGGTCTTTCAAGAGGAAACTTGGTACACTCTTAAGAAACCAGTTTTATCTCACATCAATCTATTTGTATTTCTTTTCCGCTTGTTTCATATTCATAAAGAAATTGGTTATCCATAACTACTAGAAACAGAAGTTTGTCAGACGGAAGTTTTTTCCAATTGCCTTTTTATAAGTTGCACTAAGAACGATCGCGTTTCTTCTGCACTCCCGAGCGCCGAACCAACTTCTAATCGGAGTAAGTTGTGAACCTAATATTCGACTGCACATTGGCATGAGATTGGTTGTTAGAAGACTTGCCACATCAACCAGACCTGCTAATATTTTCAGACAACACATGAAGTGTTTGTGTCAAACCGTAGATAGCTATTCGGAAATGAGAGTCGGTGTCTTGAGGAGGAAGCATGGATTATCGATCATACATTTACTGTAGTTTATTTGGTCTAACTTTTTGGGACTGGTTAATTTTATCACAGTAAATTTTGAATGAATGAAAGTATTCGTTTTTTTCTGTTTGGCCGACTACCAGAGTGACTGACCTGAGACATGGTCATAGGTTAGAGAGATTGGATGTCGTATTTCTTGATCGTTCGACAATTAGTGCCATTAGTTGACTGAAAAATTTCAGCTGGCTTTCCACACTTGATTCTTTCATAAAAAGGGGAACTGTTCTATGTATATGTACTTACCTCAATATAATGCAAGTATGTTTCATGTAGACAGATTGTTAATTGAATTCTAATCTCAGCAAGGTCGCTTATCCAACAATAGCCTCTTGGCGGGTTTTCGAGTTCTCTGTAGTGATATGATATCCTTGTGTTGACAGCGTCCATTTAGTTACTAAACTAGATATGTCTGTACTGAGCGACACTTTGCATGCTGCAAATGGGAACGAAGAAACAGTATCGAAAGTAGATATGTGTCCTCGCAGACTTTCAAGAGTTTCGCGCTTGCGGGATATGTTCCAAACTGGTGTTGTAAAGCCGATCGACGATACTGAAGATGGATTTGATGTAGAAAGTTCAGTGTTTTCAGCATACACCTGTCCTGATTTTGAAAGGTTTTCGAGGTTGGTTCTATGATTTTTCAGACTACTTGATGCATGTTTTTGTGAGATTAGTTGTTGGATATTTTGTCGTAAAAGCTTTTAATAAGGTTCATTATATCACTTGTCAGTATGAACGGTAGGTTAGCTGCTATTTATTCGCTCGTGGGTCTTGGCTTGTTTGTGCGGGTCGTATGTAACTAAATAATTGGGTGGATTATGTGTAGGTTTCCATTCACTAAGGCAAATAAGTGGAACAGTGAAAAGTCGAATTAGTCTTCAGTAATAAGGATAGGAGGTCTGTCGACCTATATTAATCCTTTCAGTTTGTAATACTGTGGAGGTCCAATCTCGTTTTGAATATATTAATAGGCGGTTCTGATATTACGTGTTCCGATAGAGAATTCTAGTAATTCACTACTCGGTGCGAGAAACGGAACTCCAGACGTAAACGGTTTGATCTCGGTTTTTCAACTTTCTTCGAATGTCCTCTCGAATGATCGGTTTTAGACGGGAGCAAAAGATAAGACATGTTGATACCAAGGTCATCGTTCATTATACGATAGGCCAATATTAGATCACCCCTTATTCTACGGTAAGAACGGAAATAAGTTAAGGTGTCTCAGTCTGTCTTCATAAGATAAGCCAGATAGACCTTGTACCATCTTAGTAGCTCGTCGTTGGACTTTCTAGCATATCTGCTTCATATTTGAAACAAGGACGCGCTGCTTGAATCCCATATTCTAAATGTGGTCGTAAATTTCCTCCACTATTGTGAACACAACGCGCTTCTTTACGGACAGTCTGTTTGACTTTATCATCTAATATTTATCTGATATCAACGCTCACTTTCGTATTATACTTCAGTAGTGTGGTTTATACTGTGGATGTACTGTTCTAACTTCTCTAAGGACTGCAATATTTTCCCAAACTTTCACTGTCATGCAAGTAATGGGAGTGGCGTCAAACTCCTCAGATAAAATTCACTTTCCATAGTGAGTCCTAATAGACTAAACGTGAAGATCAAAGGCTGTTGACCAACAGAGTGGGGACACTACTACTCTTTAGCCTTATCTGTATTGAACTTCTTAGTCTCTCACTCAATTTAATTTAATGGTGACGGTTGAAAAGTTTATACACGCTTCATAATTAATTTCAATGAAGTAAATCCATTCTCCTGACTTCATTTTACCCGCTTGATGCATGAGGTATATGATTTCTTTACTTAGTTTTCACTGAATATCCTATAAAGTTGGAAGTTATATGATATAATATTGATTTTCTTACCATATTTGCTTACACAGAGCCTTTCCGGGGTCCCCACCTATGAAAACTCTGCGCAATCATCGAATAAGTCTAAACAAAAATGAATCGACTCAACATAAGTAAGTTCTTCAACCTCTTTCCTTTTCACGCGTTTAACGAATGAGTGTATTTATCCATAATGTTTATGGGGTTTTTTGGTTTGTCATAGGTTGTTAGATATGGTAGCTAAATAATGGCATTGTTGGTTATGTATTGACCATTTCAATATTTTAGCTATATTATTTGTGTGTCAATGACAGCTTTAGTCCTATAGTTTATCCATTAGTTGATCAGTGATTCTGTCCTCTGAAATCAATTTGTTCGAGATACGAAAATATCTTCGGTGAGGAGGTGGCCAGTTTAGTCATCTCAGTAGTTATCGATCAATTCTTCCGTTGTAATAAACGAATGCCATCATTTATTTTTTCGGTCAACAAGAAGAAACAGTTAACCATTGGAAATTGTCTGGAATTTCGACACAAGTTTCTTCTAATAAACGAGTGCTTGGTTCCTTAATATTTTAAGCATCTTAGTGCACACTTGAAATTCAATCAGAAAACGGTAACCATCTTAATTTAATGTTTCCTTAGGTTAATTATGATCTGACCCCCCCAATTACCCTGGTACGGCCAAGAGTAGGGAGAGTTAGCTCTCTCTCTCTCTCGAAATGCTTTCATATGACCACGCGTATACAACCACTGCCAGCGAAATCCTACTAACTGCCTTCTCGTGGCGGGGCTGTTGTTTACGAAAGTGAAAGGATGGAAAGCGAATATCCAGCGCTTTAAACGGGTTTGTGGATATGGAGAATCCACCTGGGGGAGTTAGAAAACCCTGACTCCAAGCCACTGGTGCACGTGGGTTCCAGTATCCTGAAGGAAAAAATGGCTTATGAACCTGTTGTTGGTAACCAGCTACTATGGGACTGCGTCTCTTGACGTTGCTCCACTGCCTTGTGAATCAGACCTTTAGGTTGAAGGCTCTGGGTGTGACACCTTATGAACACCACACGCTTCGGTTCGGGCGCCCTGGAATTATCCCAGCTCTTACACAAACCGAATGATGAAGTATGGTGCATGTATATTTGGTGCCTCATTGTAACGATGTTTTTGTGTTTAAGCAAATAAATAAAATTATAGTCTGCTCACTGAAATTCACTTGCCATTATCCAATTTTTCTTTCGAAGTCGAGTGCCGTAATATCCTTTGAATACTTCCTTTATTTACCAGTAGAACAGATTTTTATGATCATATTCACAAATTATTGTCATAATATTCACAAATCTCAAATAACTTTACCATAAATTACTATTGAATTGTGTTGGTCTATTTTTCCTTTGACAGTATTACGTCATCCAGATCAGCTGATGGAGGTTTCTCTATACCGGAATCACTTTCTCCCCTTAAATCTCCACCCACAAGACCTCCTAAGCCTCGTCATATATCTTTGTCGAAACCTGCAGTTCTTGAAGAGGTAAGAATGCCATATCGTTTATTTTTTAACAAACAGTATGTTTTTACCTGCTTATGGACAATAAATATTGATAACGTTCTAACCAAAATATCAAGTGATCCTAATCTTCGTAGATTACCTACAGATTTAAATGAAAAATGCCTCGGCTGGTAGTGTAAATTTCATCTAATCTCAGTCCGTATGTTCAACCATAATTTAAAAGCAAAGGATAAGTACAGCCTAAATCAGTTTTTTTTCATATTGTGCAGTTTGACTGGTGTGAAATTACCTAGTTTCCTATTATGAACGTACGTATTGTTGTCACCATAAGCCAATATTTGAGAAGTTGCTTTTGTCAAGACACGATTACAAATGTTTTATTATTTATTTTATTTTTATTTAAACACAAACATTGGTACAAGGGGGCACCAAATATATATGCGCCACACAAATTTCATTCTGTGTGTGGGCTGTGATACTGCTCATAGCCTAGTCCGGTCTAGATGACTTGATTGAGATATTGCGGTGGGTTGTGTTCGAGTCGTGACTTACCGACAATTACAAATGGGACTATTATGAATCTTCAGTAGTACTTTCCGCAAAAATATCTGTAGTTTACGGGTTTTTAATGTCTCATATAGGGGCTACAAAAACAAATCAGTCAGTCAGCTACAACGTAGGACCAGGCACATTCATGCATCGGTCCAAGTTGCCATACCTCATTAACACAACAAGATGGACACCGGATTCATAAAAGTAGCTAATTCGGAGGTGGTAATATATAAAAGGAAGATTGCAATAAGGATATAGTAGAGCAAGAAAGAATTAGTTCGTAGAAAGAAAGATATGAAACAATTTTAATCTCTTGGTTTAAGGGAAGACGGAGTGTATACACCTACGCCATTGTGCTCGATTCTGAGCCATGTCACCAAGAGTCTCCAACCACTGGTTACGACGGTCACGCGGACCCTCAAAAAACAAATGAATTCCAATGATCATTTTAGAGCACAGGATAGCAAACAACTTCCACCGTTACGAAATATTTAATGGGGACGGGTTGTAGGGTTGATAAACATTAACATTTTTTATGTTGCATAAGTGTTCTGGGTTATATGCGACTGTTTGGGGCCCTTAATCATGTGAAAATTTAAACCTTTATTTGATAAAAAGAAGTTTGCTCTCACTTTGAACGCATAGTAAGATTGATTTATTGTCCATTGCGGTGTGTTTCACACTGTCCCTTATTGCCCTTGCTTCCCCTTACTTTTCAGTTTTTCTAGTTGACATTTTATGTTCATATACGCTTTAAAAAGTATGTGTGACCAGATGGTTCAAAATGTATTGCGCTAACATATTGCATAGTTCTAAAGAACCTCTTTTCATCACATTCAACTTTATACAAGGGACTAATTGTTTTTAGTTTCATACAACGCTAGTGAATTGCATTTGTCAAAATTATATTGTTTTATGGATATCTTTATAAGTATTACTACACTAATAAGGATTGACGCTTAAATTAGCCATTGCTTTCATTACCTTTGTGACCCAAACTCTCATTCATTATGCCTTTTTAAAGGTGAAACTAAAACCGATTTCTTCAAAAATCGCTACCGAAAATGCATCTTGTAATAGCGTCACAGAACCGGTGGACATTTCCAAGTATGTTTTCAATTAAATTGTATTTATATTTCACACCAAGCATATTTGCGTTTAATATATGTACAAATTTTATTGTAGATCATAAAATCAATATGTGTATCCCTAACCATTCTCTGTTTTATCGGTTCAAATATTTTTATATTCATGTGTGCCCCGAACGTTTTTAAATATGGGAACAATTGTTAAATGTAATTTAACGTTTGCCAAACTAATTTATCATCAATAAAGGTCGTTAGCACAACAGGATTTACTACCAACCTCTTTCTTTTGAAATTCCTATTTGTTCTGGGTTGTTTTCATGCTAGATACATGTGATACATGAACTAATATTTCCTATTATTCTAATTTGATTAAATATCTCCTAAATGTGTGGTGAGATAGTTACTCCTAAGCGGAAACGGAGTAACATTTTTGTCACAATTCGGATTCTTATCGAGCTCGGGGCATCGAATACATATGCACCACAGAAGTCACTTAAATTTTATGCGGGTTGTGATACTTTCCGGGTGACCAAACCGAAACAGGTGGTTTTCTTAGGGTGTCACACCCAGAGCCTTCAACCTAAAGGTCTGATTCACAAGGCAGTGGAGCAACGTCAAGAGACGCAGTCCCATAGTAGCTGGTTACCAACAACAGGTTCATAAGCCATTTTTTCCTTCAGGATACTGGAACCCACGTGCACCAGTGGCTTGGAGTCAGGGTTTTCTAACTCCCCCAGGTGGATTCTCCATATCCACAAACCCGTTTAAAGCGCTGGATATTTGCTTTCCATCCTTTCACTTTCGTAAACAACAGCCCCGCCACGAGAAGGCAGTTAGTAGGATTTCGCTGGCAGTGGTTGTATACGCGTGGTCATATGAAAGCATTTCGAGAGAGAGAGAGAGCTAACTCTCCCTACTCTTGGCCGTACCAGGGCATTAGGGGGCATCAGGAAGTGTAACATGTTACAACTTATTTATTAACATTGTTATCTTATTTAAAGGGTTAATCAGTCAAAACTTTCGTAAGTAAATACTTAAAACTTGTTTGTCTCCACTTAACCAAATTATAACAACTTATACTACCTTATTAGACCCTTTTTTAAGATCATCTAATAACACAACGGTATGGTGCTATGAAAGTGACTTGTAATGTGATCTACACTCACTAAAGCGTTAGTAATATGAATAATAATGTGGATGAGATACGACAGATAAAAAGTAATCTCGTGGAAAGATACCCAAAGAAATTTTCATTGTCAATTTGTCCTAGCTTTTCTCCTACTGTCTTCTTTGAAGATAATGGATATAGATCGCTAAACATAACAGTTGACTGCAGCATTGAAGTCGAATTGCTCTTCATATTTTTGTTTGGTACTATATTCACTCATTGTGATGTTCCGTGATACTAATGTTAATATACATTGATACTTATATTTTTCTGAAAAGTGTATACTGTTATCTGCATTGTGAAGTAACGTAGACTTTAGCGTCACTGTCTGGCACATTCTCTGTAGACAGAATTAGTGAATATGTAGGTAGTGCTCAATGACCACCACCTGCCTGGACAGCCGATGTTTAGTGGTTTAGAAGTATCTTTCAAGAAAGTTAGGGACTGCCAAACCAAAACATACCAGTCCATAAAATCATTAACCATGATTCTGAGCTATGTTTGTTATAAATTTGTCCGGCTTTTATCACGTGACCTATCCACCAGTCAAAACACGACTTATACAATCTTCGCACTGTGCCAAACCAATGACGTTCGACCGGTATGAGCAGCCCAGCGTCTTATTTGGTCCTATGTCTGTCTAGCCGTCCACTTGAGTCAAGAACACTAAATACCAGCTTCCAATATCCGAATCATATATTTCAAACATACTGTGTTTATATATCAAACAAACAGACCGCAGCGCACTATAAAATAGGAAATAATATTTGTACACAATAAGGCCAAAAAGTGACTTTGAACGTGGGAGGCAGGCAGTAGTCAATAAACTGAACATAGCTTAAGAACCATAAATCGTACAATAATAAATTATAGGTCAAAATAAAGAGGAATATAAATATACATAATCTAATTATTGAATAGTTATACCATAAGAATATATAGATAGTATTAGTCAATTAATATGTCTCAGGAGTTACTCGTGATTTAATCTTCGCTCGGATATAGCAATGTTAGATGCAGACTACCTGGTCGGGATCCGCGTGATAACTGAGATCTGTAACTGAAGATTTTGGATGAAATGAGGCAGATGCATTCATGTTTAATCTTCCTCTAGATCTTCAATATCAATATTCCTTCAAATATTCCTTTCAACCGTCGTTTGGTACCATTTTCCCAATATCCATTCTTTCTCATTATCATTACGACCAAATTATTTCAATCTCTTTTGCTATTTGTCTTGTTAGTTTCATCTCGTTGTGGCATCTCGAGTCAACTCACATTAGTGTCAGGTTCTATGCTAACTGGATTGACTGACTAAGGTTATCCTCGTAATTTCAGACGAGAATTTCTTATTCACTTCGATCACAGTTTAAAGTCTTATCATTTTTACCATTTAATTACTAATGTTATATTTGTTGTTCAGATATTTTATCAGTTTGTATTTTGCTTATACTAATTCAGTCATTCAACCCATTATTTTAGTGGTTAGATAAGTGATCGACCGATCACAATTCTCGCTTGTTTCGTTTTTTGTTTAATGCATTCTTCCCTAATGTGTAGCACTCGGGTAATTATTCTATAAACCTAATGTTCTTCACCTCCTTTTTCATTTTTATTAAGCCATTCGATTACTAGCGTTGATAATAGCATAGATAATCAACCATCGACAGTCAAAGTTAATGGAAGTTCGTTAAATTCAACTACCATTCGAAATTCAACTCCTGTAACTATTATCAAAGCAAGACCGCAACAAACATCCAAAGATCCCGTTGAATGTTTTTCTTATGCTTCCATAACTCCTTTATATTCATCTAACAAGATTGAGAAGGCGACTGAAAATGATGTAAATAATGCTATTAATAATGATGGTACGTATTAGTATATACTCATTTTTTAAGCGATGTTTTATTTTATGAATTGGTATTAGTTAAACAACCATCAAAAACCAATAGGGATCAGACAGGTGTTCGCACAGACATAGGTCTCCTCAACAGTGCACACCTATAACCTCGCAATGCCTCTAATCTACAACCACTGGGGCTTCCATGATATGCGTTACTGTTAGATCATGAAGTTGACATCTGTAACAGACTCGCATTCCCAACTTCAATGAATTCACTACGTTACAAAGTATTTGCAATGGCGCAGGTGCATCCACTTTTTGTCTTCACCCAAATTCTAATCTCCTGAATCCTCCTCGTCCCTTTTTTTCTCTTTCCAAATTTATCTCACTGGATTATACTCTTTAAATAACATCTCCAAACCCTAATGTTTCCGATTACTGCTTATACTCCTACCGCCTCTATCACTCCGGGATTTGAGTCGACAACTGCATCTCTGTGCTAATGTGGTGTGGCAACTCAAACTGATGTACGTACTTACGAAGTTCTACGTTGTTACTGACTGGCAAAGTATTTGCCAGTTTCTTTAAGCAGGTTGTGTTGCTAGTTTAAATGAATCATGTTACCAATCATTGTTAGAATCTTTATTAGCAATCAGTTGTAAATAAGTGGTTAGTAGAGTTCACCAATGTACTTGGATTTATTCAAATCAGATAATGAGTTTTTTTTACTGTCGTATTAGATTTCCCTAATAATACAGTCTTTCTTCAACTTCACTAAGAACATAACTATGAAAAATGGGCCAAATTAAAAATGAATAGTTTAAAAGTCTTTTAAATTATACCATCCACTAAATGATTGAATATAATCAATCATAAATAAATAAAAATGTGACCAAATCAATCGGCGGAAGTAATACTAGTATTAACTGTTACATCTAATTAAATCACTTCGAACCTTAATCTCCCCACTGTTTCTGCCTTTAGATATGCAGGGAGAGGTACTTTGGAGCTAGTTAATGTGGCTAATACTATAGGTTAGTTAGCATAATATTGAGGGCAGTGAAATTATCCTATTCATTGTCTGGGAAAAGAAAAGACATTTACGGTAGAGACCTCTATATCCGATTATTATTTAACACTAAAGAGTACATGGATAAATATGAATGGTTGGATCACAACGCACAATAAATAAAATAATACATTAAATGTCACAATAGGGCATTTACGGTATAAAAATAGGAACTAAGGCTCGTGTTTAAATTACAATAAGTTTGTGATGAAAACAGATGTGATAACTACTTCAATACAATAGTGTTTAATGGCCTTTATGATGTTATGATATATTAAGAAGCTAATTACTATTCAATAAGTTAACTGATAGGAATCATCCTTAAATATTTTTATTCTAATCATTTACTTGAATCAAATTTTCTATGGTTAGTTTATCCTCAAACATTTTTTAGCTCATCACCAATCCTACAAAACAGTCATTCAACCCTCCGAAGATTCAAATTCACAATCAACTCATTCGTAAGTGACCCTTTAAACAAATGGTTCTTATTTATTTAACATATTATTCTAATGAGAATCATTGCTGCTATGCTGTATTTTCAATTATCAAGAGATTATTGAATCTTCATTTTTTTGGATTTATGATTTTCCTTACTTGTGTAGTGTTCTGTTTCCAATTTATCTTTCAAATATACTCCGATTTCATTATATCCACTCTAAACTAGACAAAAATGAAGTAAACATTTCTTTATACATATGTGGATAAAAAAGTCTTAAATCAATCTTCTGATTGTTCGCAATTTATCATTTTCGTCATATCTAAATACTGTTTGTTTTATTCAGCCTTCAGAATTCGGTTATCCATACTAGTACACTTACTTAAACTTCAAAACCTTGAAAGATTCACCTTTTCAATTTAGTGTATTTGAAAAAGTATCTTTTTATTTCTTACTTCTGACATATAATTTTAATTATATCATGCTAGTCAATGTTTATTTGTCTACCTTTTATCTTATTGTTAATTGCTACTCATCATCTTTATAATTTTACAAACTATTAATATGCTTTGGTAATATGCATTGATATTTATTGAATATTATTTCAAATAAATGCGGAGTGGTGGTTTAATCGTCAAGGCTTTTGTCTTCCGGTCATTGATTTCCAGGTTCGAACCACGCTCCACCTACTTCGGTTTGGGAAGCTGGCTGGTAGCATTAGCTCTCATGTTCACTCATATTCAATTGCCTGGTGAATGAGTTAATTTACTTACCTATTATTCTATTATCTCTCAGTCACCGACTAGGAAGTTCATACTCCCTAACATAACTTAGTCTGAACAGTCATTGCTCTCATGCTCATTGGTTCCATATCTTCATTTAATCTGTCCCGTATTACATGATATTTATCATTTGTTTCAAAACATTTGGTATAATGATTCTTTGTTAATTCGTTACTGTTGTTTTAGCATATGCAATTCTTCTGCTGATCATCAATGTACAATATCAAATTCTTCGGATGTCCAGGTATGGCATTAAATAATTCAAATTTTTTATTCTCACTTTAAACACTATCTTTGCACATATTTGTGTATAGATGAAGTTTCTCTTGAATGTTCTGTTAATAGCATTCCAAATGGCATTTGGGAAATCAAGTGTATTTTACTGAAGCAAACATAACGGCTGAATTCTAAAATTAGTCTATTCTTGTATCGTTAAAAATTCATTACGAAAATTTTCTTTTAATGATTCGTTGGGTCTGTCAAAAGTCACAATCAATAATAATAACATTTTAATGATGAAGAAATAGGATTTGTATAATACAATTCTTCTATAAAACGTTTTGATACTATTTCGAGATTTTCTATAAAATAACAAAACAGCTAGTCTTTGGGATTTGAGAGTTAGGTGTATTTGTACCGTCTGTTCCTTCAGCAATTTTTTTCTATGTGACAACATTTCATTATCTATATTTATGTAGCTGTTTTAATATTATTTGACTGCAGCACTAATCAAAGAGGGATTCATTTTAACCACCTGTGTCGTCGACCTAGTCGCTTTACTGTTTGAGCTACAGTAAGCACCTCAACCGTGTATTCGTCTATTTCTACATAAATCAATCGATGAATTAGAAACATCTCAGACAATCTAAATTAAATACGTTTTATTCCCCGTAACTCAAGATGATTTTTTATATATGAATGTTTGAAATATATTGTTTGCCCATACATACAGTCAACAAAATAGGTTATTATTATTATTATTTTAAATCCTTGTACTTTTCCATATTCTCACTCTGGTATACGTATTTAGTTAGATTTGTTGTAGATTACAACTGTCGTGTACATTATTAATTTATTCGCTTTATTAAACCAACAGTGAGTTCATTTATCAAGGGTTTTTGCTAATTCTCACTACTAACAAATAATTAAATACATCGCCCAGATTTCTCGGCTATGTGCTATGTAACTTCTTTATTATATTAAGCTTCATTCCTAATTATGCTTTGATTTCTGTGTTCCTTGTGTTTTCACTTACTTCATTATCGATTTATTAATTGTGTTCTGTAGGATTTTGTTATTCAACCTGAAGCATTTCACAAGTCTCCATTTCCTGAAATTGTATGTAAAGATAACATTGATAATCTTCCTTTACTACAACATGCTGAACCTGTTGCAGTTAATGCTGAAGATGATGATGATGGTTTAGATGAAAATATTGACAATACTGAAAACTCTTTTGAAATTGTTATTAGTTCATCTCAGTGTAATACATCATTTAATCCACTGATCACTTTACCTGTTCCAAAAGGATTAAATGTTGTGGCTGGTAAGTTGAAATATTATCCAAAATACTATTGCTTAATTACAAAAAATATTTCACTTTCCTTTTTAATCTCATATCGATTGAAAAATAGACACTCATATAAATTGATCCCATTTTATTACTACATTTAAATAATCACAGATACACGGTTCGTATTTTAAGTAATTATTTCAACTAGTATTCTTCAAGCCCTAATGTTTCCGATTACTGCTTATACTTTTACTATCTCTACCACTACGGAATTTGAGTCGACAACTGCATCTCTGTGTTAAGGTGGTGTGGCAACTCGAACTGATCGTACGTGCGTACGAATTTCTACGTTGTTACTGACTGACCAACTAGTAGTAATTAATTTTCATTTAACGTTAAATACTTTGAATTTAGTTTATCATATCTCCCTACTGTGTATACCATCAATTTAACATCATATAAGTAGGTAGTAACATGCATAATTAATTCTGTAAATTAATAAATGGACTATTCAGTTGATATATTTTCTATTACTTTTTTTTTCTTATTATCATACAAACTTATACATATAATGAGTAGTGTTTGTACAATGTGTTGTATTGCTTAATTTTATTAAAGCATTCATCATGTTTATTCTGTATATTTTTTCATTATTTATTTAATTATTTTATTTATTCACATTTATAATGAAAATAATATTGTGCACTATGATGATAAAGAATAACTGTCTCACGTTTATTTTTATTGTTTCCTTGTTTGTATTTAAATACTATTCGAATATTCCATTTTTCCATTGTTATAAATGGATTGTATTTACTTTTGTTGTTGTTGTTGTTGAAATATGATCCTTAATAAAATGCTTCACTTTTATTTTATTGTCGTTTTCTTTTCACTCGAGATTCTATTGCTTTCTTTTTTTTTACTTAAGTCATTTGTTCTCTGAAACATTGAATATTCTTTTCTTTTGGTAATGCATTTTATATTTATCAAGATGTTCAATAAAGTCATTTATTATCCTTATTTGTGTGTGTGTGTGTATGCGTCTAGTGATTTCCCAGATATAATGCTTATTTGATTATCGTCAAGATATAATTATTCATTGTTCATTTCGTTTTATGTCAACCTATGCTTGAAGTTAATCCTTTTTTTCAGTTACAAAAAAACCCTGAAATGTCATGCAATTGTAATGCATTATGCATAAGTTCACATAATAATATATTGTTACATGTTTAATATTAATGTAAATCATAAAAATATTATTGATGTAAGTTAGTGTTTTATCTTGAAAGCAAATAACTGTATTTACATAAGTTTTTTTTGTTAACTCCCAACATTTATGTCACAATAGTCATTTTTAAGGTATTTAATATATTCACTGGTAAAAACTATGATAACAGTAATACATTGATTAAGTAATGTGAACTGTGGATTTCTTTTCAATTTTTAATCTTATCTGTTATGGGAAAAGAATATTCACTGACAAATACTGGTTGTTCATTGTTTTTATTAAGCTATATACTAATGTTGACATTTGATAAGTTTGGTATATTCACGTTAGTACCATATTGTATGTTGTTTATAACTGACTGGGTGGATTTAAACGTTGTACACTACAAGACGAGTAAGATTATCTCTTATGAACAAAGTATATGTTTGAATATTCTGTGTATTTTTATTGGTTTACTACTCTGTTTTAAATTCTCTGCATGTTGAAAATCTTCAATACCCAAAAAACATTTCACTGGTTATTTTGGTAGTTTACTTTCTAGATTTTAATTTCATATTCGTTGCTACAAATCTCTGGGCAGAAATCATCTTTTTTTTACCGCGATCAAAGATCCTTTTTTAATGTCATTACGCGTATATATTTGTGCGTATGCGCTTCCTCTTTCATCTCTACCGGACAATTTTTTATCATAAAACCTGTCTTTCGGGAGTAGCTGGGCCTAGGGAAGAATAAGGAATTGTGATGTCCACGTATCGGAATCGAAACTGCGAGTTATTACATCCAGTTCACAATGCATTAGCATGTTTTAACATGAAATTGTTCCTTTTTATCAGTCAGTCAGTTAGCTACAATGTAGGACCAGGCACATATGTGCGTCGGTCCAGGTTGCCATACCTCATTAGCACAGCAAGGTGAACACCGGATTCAGAGGAGTGGTTAGGTCGAAGGTGGTAATATATAGGAGAAAGACTGCATATAAGGATATAGTATAGGAAGAAAGAATTAGTTCGTAGAAAGAAAGATATGAAGTGATTTTAATCTCTTAGTTTAAGGGAAGACAGGGAGTGTATACACCTACGCCATTGTGATCGATTCTGAGCCATGTCACCAAGAGTCTCCAACCATTGGTTAATATAGTCACGCGGACCCCAACCAAGTAGTCTGCATCTACCAACATGGCTCAGACTAGACTAGTAACTTCAAGCACTGATGCCACGTTTTGGTTTGGCCGCCCCTTACTTTCTTCCAATCGTCCCCTATACCGGTTTGCATTGTACGTCGTGGTAATTGAACTTTCCACACTATAGAGATAAATTCTCAGCTTCATAGCAGTAAGGACTACAAATAAAGATTGCTGACAATTTTTTATTTATCCCGGGTTAGAATACTGCTTTCTGTTTATCAATGTTTCGTTTAATGTGTTACAAATAGTTCTCTCCCTTTAATATATAGTTGAAATATTCAAACGTTTCCTTCAGCAGATGTTTAAAAGATTTCCCCATTTCTTATGTTTTTTCTTCAAGTGATAGATTTTTGTACGATACATTTTAAGTAACTTAACGATGCACATATACGTTTATAATGCGACGAATAGTTCGACATTCCTGTTTGAAATTTGTATAATATTCAACAAATAAACGGTGATTACTTAACATAACTCTTTTTTGATTAATTACTAGCAAAATGTATCCATGGATTCTGTTTCCCATGAATATCATAATTCGTTACAACATAATATGAATCCCATTGAACTGGTAATATTGATTAGCCGATTGTGATATTTATCATCAGTCATTTTTCACTGTCAGATATCTAAGTATATGTAGTGTTTCGTTGTGTTTACTGTAATATAGTGTGTAGGGGAAAACTCGTTGATTCAACCAAAACTATCTCATTCCTTTTTTCTTGTATTACATACTACTTTTGTAGTTTAAGTTTTCGCTAATTTATCATATTTTAATAGGTAATCTTTAATTTTATAATACTTTTTTCGCTCTTAACAGTTGATGACGATGGAGTTCATATTTTTGAAGATGGTAACTTTCTGTACGCTCTTCCTGGCTTAACTGATAAGTATTCGGATGATTCAGATTTTTATGACTCACGTGAGGATGTTACCAATATTTCCGACTTAATATCTCCTTCATATACCACTGAACAAGTAAACGATGAAGAAAATGTTAAAACAAATATGGACAAAATCCTTTCAGTATCTTCATCATCTAATTCACCAAAATCAATAACTACAAGGAAATTAGTCAATAAACGTTCAGGTAGCAGTGATAGTCTAGTCAAACAACCGAGAGTTCGATTTAGTTCTGAACCAATCTTGGTAAGATTTTTTCATGGGTTCTATAATTTATATTTTTGTTTTGTTAACATAGACTGCTTTCTGTATATTAACAAGTGCTACTCCCCAAAAACGACTTAAATTCATTTATTTTCGACTTCATTAGTCTCGTCCGAACTGCAAAATATTACTTCAAACCACGTTTACTTCGATAACTAGTATAATCATAAGCAGTAAAATGGGTAGATACGGTTTGCGTTTCATGTTTGTGTAGCTCTTCACTTTTGTGAAATATGAATATTGTAATCCAGAGATAATCTTGATTTAGAATGTAATTTAGCTATTCCATTTTTCTTCTCGAATGAAGTGGCTTCAAATCTGAACTATACAGGTAAGTTCAAGCTTTCTTGTTTAAGCTAAAGGTACAAGAATTGTCGACTGTTTGACTCTTAAAGAATTATAACTCTAAATAGTTTACATTATGGGAGATCCTGCCAGCCGTTACCTTTCTCTAGATCTTCAATCTTACATTATTTTGTGTTACATCCCCTCTTTTCGTAATTTGTTAAATATTATTTTTTTTTCTACTCTACTACTACTGGGACCACTGAATTTCCTTTACAGATTTTTCCGTGATATCTCTCGAAATGCGAGAACCCTGAACCATTACGAATCTCCATAAATCTTACTTCACTTCTGTCCGTTGTAAACCAACTCTGATAATTACAACAAATGCTGAGCTAAAATAATTGTTCGTATTTTGAAAAATATAAAGTGGTGCCAACTTAATACTATCTCGTTTGACAGTAGGATAAATCTAGACTAGATATACTGTAGTTGCTTCAATCCAATTTTTATTTATAAAATAGAATGTGGTTGATTTATGATTTTTCGATTTATAGTTTTGACCTCGTTGCCATTAATCAATAAATGGTTATCACCAACTTTAAGGAAACGGATGTTCCTTGCAGGTTTACAACCCGTCACCATTTATCATAACCAAAGACCTTGCTACTAGTTTTTTCTGGACACAACAGACTTTATTTCAAGTTCAATGGTCCGTAGTGGTAATAAAATCCTATCGACCAAGTCGCAGCATGACTACCAATCCATAAGTCCCTCGGCTACTCTTCTTAAATTACATAACATCTTGCATAGAACATACCACTTTACTTAGGTTAATGATAGTTCAAGTTGATCGTTGTAATGTGAACGTCGCTATGGAGTATATAATAAAATATTGATGATTAGTAGCTGAGCAATTAATACGTGAACTAAATATCATTGTTCAGTGAATGCTACATTCTAACTGAACAATCGGATATATCTAGTTCTATTTATCCATACCAACGTTGGACAGTTTTTTTGTTTATCGAACATATGATGAAAAGAACTGTGTAGCCTATATTTGTAACATTTTGTAAAATAGATGTTTAAAAAATCGATTGCAATAGGTTGTTCAATCGAAACAATAATTTCAATGTAACCTATTTTTTTTATGTTATTCTGAAAACAAATTGATCAGGGTTTTATATATTATAATCAGTTTTAACAATCTAATTTTTATGTTTATTATCTATCAACTTATAAGGTATGATTTAATGAAATTACTATGTTTGGTCTAAGTAGTATATTATTTTCAGCCCCTAGCTATTTCTTTGCTGAATTCTTTATTTGTCTCAGTTTACAAATTCTATTGTCATGGTCAAGAAAAATTTACACATTATGTCGATTGAAAAATTTAATATTTTGTAACGTTTGTTATATGATATGGTTAAACATTGACATTGTATCAATTAACTTTATGTTGTGTATGCAAGTGTGCGCTCTTATCCACAATTCATAGTTAGAGGATTAAATATCTAGTTATATTGATTAGTGAAATGCATGAACATAAGTTTTTCGACTACTGACTTCATTTCATCAAGAAAAAAGGTCAATTCTGTTTGTGTGATACAAAAAATCGACAATACCAATAAGAAATATCAATCATTGCGTATCACTAATAAATTCAGGTTTTTAAAAATGAGTGTCTATTGTTATTTCTGACTTTTATTGAACCAGGATGACATATTTATACAGTTAATTTACTATGCATTTGTCAGCTATTTTACAGCTGGTATCAGTTTATCTTACAAAAAATCATTTAATTATAGAAATCTCCAAAGAAAGCTCACGTGTATAATATTCATGTATTCTAAATTTGAATAATCAGTTCAGTATTATATTTTCAATTGTTGAAATCATGAGTCAATTGAAGTTAGACCACCATGGAAAACCTAAAAGCACTAGTGGTTTAGCTTCAAACGACTCATGATTTCAACTATTGAGATTTCTAAAAATCTCTACAAAACCCCTTCTGATATTATATCTTCTCTAATTTTGTATTTTACACTACTCGTTAATTGAATGATTTTACAATGTGTACCTTTCATATTAACTGATTTTATTTGAATATATAGATTTCTTTTGTTAAACACATCATAAATGTCATTAATAATTGTTTCCACAGTTCTACGTAATTGATAACTATATTAACAACTGACCTTGCAGCAACCGACTAGATAATCATTGTATTCAGTAACTAGTGCATAATTAATATTTTTGTTTAGTGATTCATAGGAGAAAAATTTTTTACTTGTAACATCATTTCATTTCTATTTGGTGTAAATCAGATTCAATGTAAATTTATTGATTGTTCATCTGAATTCCGCTTGTAAAAGTACGCTTACAGTTCGGCATATTGCACCATTAATGCCTAACTTTTTCACTTTTTACACCTTTTATACTTACCTGTTTGACTGAAAATTGATGCTATTTTACTCAGTTTTTTTTGTTCGAGCACTATTACAAATTAAAATGTTTTTTATGTATTTGATGATTAGGAATAACTTTATCATAGTTATTATATTGGAGTTAAATATTTTTCATATGTTAATCTTAATTAATTTAAACTCAACTTTCATGTGTATTTAAGTACCTTGATTTAAGTTGTGGGAATGCTCACAATCGGCTTTTCAACCCTAGGTGAATAATTAAAATGCCATACCGGTGACTTAGCATATCATTCATCTATCAGTTACTTGGTCATCCCTTGTAATATTACTCCTTGCTTCGAGCAACTGATTTTGTATCTTTCATCCATCATAATCAATACGTATCAGTAGATATATCTTTCTAAAAACAAGTGTTGATGATAGTTGTCATAGTGTTATGGTCAATTCGGGTTCGTTCATATGCTAATATTGATAACAATTGATAGTTGCATTATATTTAAATGTTGGGATTACCATTTGTAGAATGAATTAATTACACTCTGCGATGCAAATATTCATGTAAACTTGCTGTATTACTCGAAGTGATGTGTGCATCTTTGTTAGATTATATTGATTTGTACTTCACTTTTTTTGTTATTGTTCCAAATAACCTTTGTAGTAATAACAACTTTTCTGCCCTTATTGTCCCTAATAACTTCACTCCTTTCGAACATTAGCTTCAAAATAATACACCACTAATGCTTACTTCTCGTAAAAGTGGGGGCTAAATCAACATGCTCTGATGACCTTGTTTGTAATTGGTTGTCCTCATTTAATCCTGTATTCAATTTAACTGTCTTGTTCTACTGACCTCTAATCATGTAGGATGATCAACCCTTTTGGAACGGGTCGATGAATCGGGTCTATCTCTGTTTGTTGATTCCTTGCTGATCTGAATAACTTGCTTCTAGAAGTTCTCTGACGTTTTTAAAATTACAACGATCCAAAATTTGGATGTTTCTTCAGTCGAATTCATATCTGTGGTTGTTTACATACGTTGATATCAGTGTTAGCATATCGTGTTGTCTCACCGTTAGTCCGTGTTCGTATATGCGCAAGTGATGGGGATGTCCACTTCTACATTTTTAATAAAATGAATATTAGGATAACCTTAATTGTGTTTCTTTTTCCCTGAGGAAAATTTATTGCTGTTACACAGGCTTAATTTCACTTGGAAATTCAGAAATTTTAATTTCCGTTCCACTTACCTTGTTTTGAAAAATCGGTTAGTATCACTGTCCACCATACATCCAGTGTGTGACTAAAAGATAGATACACGAACCAATGCTTTGTAAGTAATTTACACTATTATAATATTGTATTTGGCAAGATAGATTCATTAGTATTAAATAATTTTATAAAAATAGAAAACAAACTATACAAATTCCTAGACTTTAAGCTTAACAGTTATGAAATTTTTCTATTGTCGTGTCGGTTACTATGTTAAACCCATATACCTTATTCTAGCTTTCGGACATCCCATTCTATTCACTCTACTTGAGTCACATGCTGACCTTATTATTTATTCGCTTATCAATCTTGACTGTTTTTATATGAGTGCGTAGGTGTGTCTACATTTCTTATCCCACTACTCATCACATGTCTGTAACTTAATTTTGTGTAACTATAATGCTTGGTTAAATGGGAATTGGCTTACCAGCCATCTCTACTCTGCGTCCTTTCTCTTCTCTCTATTCATTTCGCTTCATATACAAAATATATGTGTTCAAAAGTCCATTCTCGTCATTTGACTTACTTAATTCCGTTATTGACTAACGCGATTCAAGTCGATGATTATATACAAGGATAGGCTATAACAAACATTCATTACAATCCCCTTGGTGTCAGATTCACGGGCCACTAAACTATGAAGAACGTGAGAATATTTTTGAAGAAAGTCTGTTGTCGGACAATTTGTATTGAAATAGTTCAGTGATTGTAAGTTAATAAGACGATATACTTAGAGATATTATAAACAGATGAAGATATGGTAAATATCAGTTAATTTGAAGAAAACTGTTCGAGACATAATTTTTTTACTTGACTTCTTTTGATGTTGTACTTACGTTACTCAGATCGTGTGTAAATTCTTCAACTTGGTTATTTATTAGTGATCATGATAAACTACAACTACATTTTTATCAAATTCGATCGTATTTTTGGTAAACACTGGATATTGTTTGATATTTCCCTTATATATATGCATGAGCAAAGATATACTTTATCTCAGAATATTTGGCTGACATTACATTTTCAATTCTATTTCATTCAAAGTTGATATTTTCCCCCCTAATAGTAGAAGTTATCTAGAATGTTTCATACCGGTTTACCAAATGTTAAGCAAATATTTGAATGTATCAGGCGTTTATATACGAACAATACCTTCTTAAAGTACACCGGTGTTCTGCTTTTCATATATGTAGGTTTATTTTTCCAAAGTCTTTTCAGTTCTTACTAATTCCCAAAAATATTGTTGCCACATATGTCTCTAGTAATGTTCTCCATTTTTATACCTCTGTTGTAGGTGTTCAGTACTCATTCCACTACAGATTATAATCGTAGAAATGAAGAAATAGATCCATTGTCTGCTTCAGCAGAATATGAATTAGAAAAACATCTTGAAGATATGGATATGTTTGAAATCGATTTCCGTAAAGGTTTGTTTCTTTCTATATCATGTGTATGTAAGACCAAAAGCATATGCTGTGGATTTGTGTTCACTTGTTTTACTTCTATTTTTCTCTCTCGTGCCTTGTGTATGCGGATTTTGTACTGTTAGACATTTTTCATCGTTCAAAGTTACCATTACATGGGTTTACGGCAACATAAATGACAATCCTGCACCTTATATTAATATTCACATATAAATCACACGGTAAAGTTTAAGTATATTAAAGCTTGTATAAGGCCAAATTATTTGTGATTGGTAAGTGTACGCGATTCAACGAATGACCTTTATTCCCTTTTTTATTTTTAATCGAGTTTTATGTTGAAAAAAAATTTCACCAGTTTCAGCTTTTATCGTAACTTATACATCACTACATTGTTTGTTGAAGCATAAACATAAATCAGTTTTTCTCTAAAGCATTTCGTATTAGATTATTCATTGTTTACTACCTAGTCTCCATTTGTTTAGAGCCTAGTAGAGTATATAGATTTTACATGTAGATACTATATGACAAATCGATTCATTTTCATTTCTTCTAAAACAATTTATTATCTGTTTATTTGTCTAATAGGATTATGTTACTACATTTTGTTTTGTTGTCAATATCTGCTTTATTGTGATTTAAGGAATATGTTTAAAAGCTAACACAATTATCCTGCAAAAAGCTATTCTTTTTTGTTGTTGCGGCGAATGAACTCTCAATGCTGTATAATCGCAAATATAGAATGTTTTCCAAAGTAATAGGATGTTTGTTGATAATGATGATAATAAAGTTTACTGAACATGTTGACAGAGATGCAGAATAATGAGGAGCATGAAAACGTTATTCTTGTCAGAAAAGCCCAACTAAACATGCAGTGATTAAGAGCTTGAATACTTATCAATAAGATAGATAAAATTTGATAAGTGTGTTCAAGGGTTGCGTAAAATGATACGGTGAAATATTGAAATGAAATGCAATCAAAATGGATATGAGAATAAATATAGATTTGTTAATGTTGAAAAAATCAATAACGAGAGGTGGGAAGGTAGTGACTTTGATAAATTAACGTTTAAGGTCATGGTAGGCGTTGAATAACCTTCCTTTAGATACACAGTTCTGGTGTGTGATAATGACTTCGTCAGTGCTAAGGTGAAGGAAGCTTACTGTTTTTGGTAAATTTCCATTTACCCTTGTAAATGAATTTGAACTTTGAGTCTTTTGTTTGAATGATTCGTATTTACGAAATGTTTGATAATTAGGCTTCTTATCGATCTAGACCTACCTCTGTTCACACATGTCAAAAAGGGTACTTTTCATTAAACCATATTTTCTTGTTTTATCTGTTGATGGGTGTTTTCAAATTATTTAGCCAACAAGAATCTAACATCATATGTTGTTACCTAAGGTTTGTACACGGTTGCATACACTCAATACTTTTCCTTTATAGTATTTTGTAAAATTGTAAGTACAAAAAAATAATTCAATAGTTTGATGTACGTTGAATTTGAAACTTTACTTTCTGTACATAAAGGCTAGTGATACTGGTCATTTGTACAAACAGTTGTTAGTGGAGAGTTTACCGTTTGAATCCATAGTTTAGTTATTGAAACCTGAATATTTTAATTATTAAAATCTCTTCTACATAAAGTTTAAATGATACAATTAAGTAACTTAATCTTTGAAATAAATTGCAATACCTTGGAAGCTGTTCAGAGTAAATTACACTAGTACTCTATATCACAAACCGGTATCCTACTGATATTATCATTTTCATTTAATAGTCAGACATACTACATTTTAACATTATATGATGCAAAAAAATAAAACATTAAGTCAAATTTGTGTATCATTTATTAAGTAATTGATCATTTAATTATCCTTTTATTGTTTAAATCCCACTCAATAAAATTCATTATTTAATAAATACCTCTAATTGTAAATTACTTTCTCTCTCTTTATACATCGATTAAAACAGATGAATTCATCTAATCACTAATAATGAGCTTGTCTCATGATCGCCTAACTTTAAGAAATGTGATCCAATGTCATGTATTGTGTTGTTTATGCTATTCACATTCATTTAGGCTTATTGTTTAATGGTTATAATGAATGTCACTGGAAATTTGTCAAAATAAGTAAACATATGCACTTTGATATACATATTAGTTCGTTTTCTTATCTCTCAATCTTTCTCGATAATTCTTAGTATTACTTATAGCTTATTATTTGTATTGAATCTCCTTGTTCCATTAGTAATGAGTATGTAAAGCATTCAGTGATATTAATTAGCGTGTATATGATAGTTGAAATGCCTGTGTACATTCACGTATACGTATACAGATTAAAGCATTTACTCTGTTTACTGTCAAAGTGGCATGATATAAGTCTAGTATATATATATATATATATATATATATATATATATATATATATATATATATATATATATATATATCATATGATTATCAGTATCATATTCATTGATAGATACATAAAAAGTTTACAGATTTACTATTGTATTTTTTTTCTACATAATGAGCAAAATTGAAAGATTGTGACCTTCATTATTATTCTGAATAGACTATTGTATTTGTTGGGTCCTATATACTTAGTTAACAAGTTTGTATATAAATGATATTTTGCATAATCTAATATCCACCTATATATCCAGTAGATTCCGTAATGATTGCGTCTTCTGATAAACCATACGATTGCAATTGAATGATCTGTCCCGTAAGTATATGATCGAATCGTTCAGCTAAGTCATTAAATCAACCAGTTTCCCTTTTATAACATTTTATAGTTTAATAGAAGTCATTGCTATATTGAGAACTGTTCAACATATGATTATTCAGTTCTTAATTGAATAAGTCCTCCAATGTTTCATGAAGGCATAAGCTAAATCTAATTTGTCTAGTAAACCATGTAATATACGATGCACTTTAATCGTTTTGTATAAATTATTCATTGAGCACCTCTTTGATAATGTTCACCTACCACATTATAAAATGATCAAGTAGTTTACTCATAGATTTTCATCCAGTTATTTTTGCCTTAATAAGCCTTTGTAAAGCAAGAATATCAGACCTTGTCGAATAAATTACATTCGTCTAATTTCGTTTGCTCTAAATCTTCCACATACACGCTTATTCACGTCAATAAATACTATATTTTACAAATGTTATTTTGTATGTAACTTGCCGAAATTCATGTAGTTCATAAGTAGGAAATAAATTTAAATACCCTTCACGTTTATACAAATTCAGTTAACAGACGAACAAAATAAACGCTCTTGTGAGAAAAATATGATGACGTCATCAATCGGAAGAAACATGTGCAAATTATTATGATTACGGTAGACAAAATAATGAGATTGATCGTGATTACCAAAGGACAATAGTAAAGTAATTATAATGCTGGCGATGATAATGGTTGAAGAGGGTATAAAAAACGTAATTATTTGAATAATTAAATTGATAGGGGTTAACCGCTTTGTTGAATGATGTTAAAATGATATAACTAGTTACAATCTAACTGTAAATTAACGAATGGAAAGTTGATTAAAATGAACAATAAGGGTATTATTGTGATTAAATAGAAGTTGATAAGAAAATGTTCGTAATGGAAGGTTATGTGTCAAAAAGTAAAGCGAAAAGTCCCTAAACTAATTTTGGACGAAGAAAAAGGAGACAACAAAGGATAGCAATAAATCGATAACAATCACGGTACTAATCAAACCCAAAATTCTTCTTATTCGCAAAAATATCGATCAGCTACTGCTTCTATGTAACGTAGAATTTTACTGTTATCCTGTCGATTTAGCAATCGAAAACCAGTATCATGATCTGTTGAGTCACGATTATCCATTATATTGTCTCATGGCACTCCTGGGTAACTTAGGGTAATGTATTATTAGGTTTTCGGTGGAGTTTTGCTCTCTGAGCTGGATGGTTTGGTCGTGGGGCTATCATCGTTCTTCTGAACGACATCATCAGCACAAACTTCCAAAATCATCCACTTGAGCTACAAATCTTCTCCACCATCTCAATGTATTATTAGATTCTTCTTTTATAACATCGTCTTTGTTATTCCATTATATGAGCTATTGGAAGTTAAGGTAAATACAACTGTGACTAGAGGTGGTCTATTTTATTTAAGTTAGACTCTGATTAGGCTTTTTTGTTTAATATGTGATAATTGAGTTGTCGATTAGAAAATTTAGTGCTATTCTGACTTTTCGTCGACAGCTATTCTGCACTGTGCAATTATCCCTTTTGGGTTAAAGTTTGATAAACATATTCCTTTGAAGGCCGATTTCTTATTGTAAAATCTCATTTGTTGACTTACAGTCCTTATTGATTAGTTTTATGAGATAATTGTTTTCGGGTAAAGTCTGAATAGCTTCCATTTCTCCATCAATTGGATCTATTGTTGTCGCTCTTGAAAACGGCATCCCAATATAACTTTTATATCGGACGAAAGCTGTTAAAGTACAAATATTGGTTTGCCTAAAAAGTGCGTAGTAAAGAAAACAACAATGATCCTTCGTTCTTATCATATTTAAACTCAAGGAATTTTTTCTAATGCGAAATTCATGCTCTCAGGTGAATTTTAAATTTGATTGAGCCAAATTAAAATATCTACATAGTAGATCGGAAGTTTCTGTTATCACATCCTTATATTACACAAAAAATTGCATTTGTAGAATGTTTTGTTTTTCCGTTTATACGACCCAGTGTATATATGCAAAATCTAAAGCATAAAAAATGAATTAGGATCGCTTCATCCTGTTGTGTTTGTTGTTGACGCCTTACAAACGAAACGACTTTTTTGTACTGATGTTTTCTCCTAATATGTATTATTCGTTTACATATTCTAGCATGAAATTCAGTCTTGAGAATTTTTTTTACCCCACTAGTTTAATTGTGATTTTTCTGACAGTCACTTTTTATTTCCCTTCATTATGTATCTAATGATTAGTTCGATTATAGTATGGTATTGGATAGATCATTTTATTATTCTGCAATTATGAAATATGTTTTTCATAATGAATCAAACAGATTTTTTAAGCAAAGATGGATAGTGGCTAGCAATGGAATCCGGGACGCGCGTTTCGTCCTATTTGGGACTCGTCAGCTCAACGTACCTGTATCTCAGTGTTGACGTTCATTCCAGGACTCGAACCCACTACCGTTCGCATCAAACGCTATCGCGTTATCTGCTTACCTACTGAGTCCTGATAGCTACCTGCTTGTGCAATAGGGTAAAATTTAAATTCACTTGGTGTTGTTTTACTTGTATCTTCCCACTGTTATTTAGCACTGCAATTGATCCGTCTCATGCAGGTACATCCAGCTGACGAGTCTCAAATAGGATGAAACGCGCGTCCTGGATTCCACTGCTAACCACTATCGATCTTCGCTTAAAAAATCTGTTTAGTTCATTATGAAAAGCATTTCATAATTTCAGAATAATAAAATGATGATGCACATATGCCAATATGAGACGACTAATCAATTGCAGTCCTAAATAACAATGGGAAGATACAATTAAAACAACACCAAGTGATTCAAATAGATGTTGTACATAGTTGTTATACGCTTATTTCATCATTTTCAGTCGAATTTGTTTTGTTTTGTTTCAAATTTATCCTCACTTTTAATTTATTTCTTGAATTAACTCTTAGTAGAAATAAATAAAAATTCTTACTACTTGTTGTTTATATTGTGTGGTGTTTCTTTGGAAAAGAACACATTTGATATCTTATTATGTTATATTATTTAATTTTATGGCTTAAATTTTGTTTAATTCATAATTTCAACAGTTGAGGAGTCCCACAATAAGACGAAACGGCCGTCCAGTGCTTCCAGGTTTTCCATGGTGGTCTAGCGTCAATTGATTCATGATCTCAACTGTTGAAATTACTACAATCTCCACAAAACCCCTTCTGATACTAATTCATAATTGTTTTGTATGAAATCAATTTGTTTTGTGTGTTAAAGTTATATGAAAATTATTTATTTGTTAAATTAACATTTCATATTAAACGTTACTATTGTGTATTTCATAAAAAAAAGTAATGAAATGCACTCGTAAACTGAACATTGAAAGTTTATATGTATAAAGCCGTTTAACGTGGATATATATGCATATAATCATGTATTCAAATTATTCATAGCATTTTGTTCATAATTAATTTTGTTCATCAGTTTAGGGTTGTGGATACCTTTGATTGAAATCATGAATGGCTCATTGTTAGACCATCATTGAAAACGGCTATTATGTCTCAGTATCGGACTCTTCAGCACTGTAATTTTATTTGCTTATCATAACATTTCTTGTATAATGTGTGTATTTATTTCCGTAAATTGTTTCTATTTAGGTGTAAATGGTCTCGGTATTAGCATAGTTGGTTCCGGTGTTGATACTTCATCTGGTGAACAGAAGTTAAGCATCTTCATTAAATCATTTACTCCTGGAGGTGCTGCAGAGGCTGATGGTCGGTAAGCTAACCACAATTTCTCTTTCACCGCTTTGTGATTGTTTTCTTGAGGATGGAAAGTGTTTTTCAAGTATGACATGGGTTATTTTGTTGAATGTTTGGGTTATGAGTTTTCACATCATTAATATTGGTAAGACTAGTGGCATTTACAATAGTTGATATATATATATATATATATATATATATATATATATATATATATATATGATTGTTTTTTTCTTAACCGTCAAAAATTGTGACGTATACTTTGTTGACGTTTGTTTTTACTTGACAATTTTAACTAGAAGTGAACTTAATGATTAAAAGACTATTTGTAATCATTAGAATGACTACAGCTATTAACCTTACTGCTGTCTATCTTGTTTGGTGCAGTTATGCCGTATCATTTGCTGTTATGTAAATAAAGTGGATCTTAAAGCCAAGTTCACAGATATATTCTTCAAATATTTGTGTTGGTTATTATTTGAAATATACATAATAAAAGTAGGTGAATGGAAAGAAAATAGATTCATATTAAAGTGTATAGAGAAGTGTGAGCTTTGTGTGTGTCGTTCCATTAATTAGAACGCTATCATCTTTTGTGATGTTTAGTAGTCGACATTTCGCTTATTCGTATAACCATAACTAAATACTACTTTTAATACTATTTTTAAGACAATTGGCGATATGTTATTGTGTTTTGAAATAGGTATTCATATTCCACCTTAATCTTTTTTTACATGTAGCATAATGTGATAATCTTAACATGTTTAAATCTTTACGTTCATTATGCATGTTAAACTCATCTTACAATACACATATATCGTTTATAACTTTCAAGTTACTAATTTAGGTAATAGTACACCATGAAGACTAATATTTCATTTTTTCTCCGATTTCTTGTTGTTACCATCTATCTAATCTTTCGGATGTTTCCTTTCTTTCTCTCTGTCGCACTCACCTATACACATTTTATCAGCTATTATCTAGATGACATTTATCGATATTTGTTTCACTTAATAATTCTGTATAGCTATTTATCAATTGAATTTCATCATTTGTTTGTTCGTTTGCTTTACGCTATTTGGATCAGTGCAAAATTTTCACTGTTTATTTAAATCATCCATTGTTCTACTAATAGTAGCAGTAGTGACCCATTGTTTTTTAACACATACACATTTTGGCTATGCTACACATTTATTCAACTGTATTTTCTTTCTATTAAAAATAGTGATGATTCATGCATAGTTTTGAAAGTGGATAGTTTACACTTTACAATTTGTATTTAAATCTTTTTGTATATACCATCGTGGTACCCAGACAAACACAAACAATATACACATGGATATATAATGCATGTGTTCACTTGTCATACATACTAAGTTAAAACCATTCCTTTGAAATGGTCATTTCTGTTATTGTGCAAATGTTAGTCGTTTGAATGTATCATAAGTCGTTTACAAGCATATCACTTAATGATAATTTAGCTCAGTAGCATTGTCGATTTACACAGAAATTGCATCAGTGTGTTTTACATGGGTCTATGGGTCAATGAAATCATGTATGATGATAGATTAAGTGATACTTGATAATTACTTATAATTTTTATTAGATTCTCTTCCGTACATATTCGTAAATATAGTGCATATCGCTAAGCTAGTAATTGGCTTACCTTTAGAACATTACGGGTATTGTCAGTGATCACTGAAACCGTCTACATTTATTCACTGAAAGTCCTCACATTCAATTCATTATGTGTCAGTTTTAATATAAGTATTTTTATAGGAATAAATGAAGTGGTCATTTCTAATCTTTTCAGTTGATATTTGTTCACGTAGATTCAATTTATGTCGAGTCTGCAAACGAAGTATTATCCATAGTATTTTGATAAAAGAAATTCCAAACTCTATCTACTGATTAGAAGTAAATAATCTGATGTTGATCAGCTCTTTATTTTTTCCTGAAAAAGTTGATTATAAAAATGTGACGCCTGCATCAAGACCAAGGTAAAGCTCGCTCGTCGAATTGATCAGCGACTTGGTAGTTGAACGCTTTAATTCGGACACCTGTTCTGAATTTTATTGAATTAAAAACTTTTGTGTCATCATTTCTGTTATTTTCAATGGTGATGTCTGAAATTGTTTTGGCTGCTGCGACAAGATTGATTTAAGCTCATTTGAAATTGATAGTCTGGGATTCTATATGACGTCCTCAGAAACTGTTGTGACGTGCGATTTCCGAAATCTGATACACGACGTGCTACGCGCTAACCTCCCAACTGACTACTTAAGTGAGAATACGAGACTATACGAATGTTCATATATATATATATATATATATATATATATATATATATATATATATATATTCAACTCCATCCCTTAGAAAGTCCATTGCATTTGGCTACTTCTGATTGGCTTATAATGTCATAAACCATCTTCGGAATATTCGTAGAAATCTGATTTCTGATTTAATTAGGAGATCGAATTTCAGTAAAATGCAATCAAGTACCATTTCATTTTAAATCCGTTTCTTTTTTCTCCGGAAAACCCTCCACTTTTGGACGAAAACTGATAACATTGTATAACCTAAGATTTTGCGTTAGGCTAGTCAGTAATAGGTCAATTAATGTTTCTTGAATACATTTACATGATAATTACTTTGTAGGAAACTGTCTACAATGTTTCAACTACGATACCCTATATTGGTGTTTACTCATTTTCATCATTAGTTGACTATATAGCACAGTGGTACGATTAATATATGAGCATTAAATCAAACGCTGTGTGTTAATATTGCAAAAAATCACTTAGCCATGAAAGGTATTTCATTCTGAATCCTTTAGTTACATAAATTTCGATGTTTATAGTTGGTCGAGGTTTAAAGCGTGTTTATGTGATTATCAAACAATTGGACACAATATTAGGGTCTATTTCAATGTAAAAAATACCGTTTCATTAAATATTAGTAGTTAGGAGTTAAAATCACACTAACTTATCTCCATATTGATTGTGTTTGTCTCATAATGAACAAGCGATAAACAAATGCAAAATTTGTTTATAAACATTATACTCTGATTATTTTCAGATGATTTGTATTTGATGGTATATATATCAAGATTCACGTTGCCTTTATTGACCGGTTTATGAGATATAAGTCCATTTGATTATAAATTTATGTAGGTAAGCCTTAAGGCATATCAAATTTGTGAATATATATATATATATATATATATATATATATATATATATATATATATATATATATTACAGTAGGTTAAGTAAATTTTAACTTGTTTAAAATCAGAATAGTCAAATATGTGTGTACGATTATACGTTATTGAATGTATGCGTCGTAACTTGCTTGATTGTAATAATGTTCAAAACGAAAAGTTTCACATTTAAACTATCCCCCAAGATAATCACCAGAGCTATTTTATTCATACTAAAAGTCAACAACGAAAGAGAACTAATACAATATCATTTAATAAATAAACCCCAACTGCTACAAGCATTACAGTAAATAAAGTTCATACTTTCATCCACACATATACGGACGTAAATTGGTCCTTAAACAAAATGATATGGTATCACTCGTCTTGATATACACTGATAACTTGAGATTTGAAGAATTTCAAAATTATTGATAAAGAAAATTGATAAAATAGCGAAGAATTTCTGAAGGCGTAGCGTTCAGACCAATTTTCAATTAGTTGACATCTCGACTGGTACCCTGTTTACCAATATAGACTGTAAACATTGAGCGATTACATGGTAAAAGTTCAACGTCTGATAAAAATACAAAAACAAATGAAAATGGAGAAGTTCACCAAAATAACTATTCACAGAAAAAGTTACCAGAAATAGGTTGTACTTTAGGCTTTTGAATTAATTAAACAACTCAATTCTACGTAAACACTGGTGAAGTTGTTCAAAGTAGCAACGTAAACTTCGTAATAAAATTACCCAGCCCAGAGTACACAATCACAAATATTCTCCCTCATTCAATCTTCTATATTTTTCCATTAAAAAAAATTTTTTTTTGGCAAATGCACTCATTAGTTCATCCTCTTATAGATCAAATAATAAAATAGACATTTAGTTAAATTATTGATAAAATTATGTTTGTTAATCAAGTTTGATAAAATTACACTCACTGTGATTTATTATACGTAAGAACAAGTGCTCCAACATTTTCATAATTTGTCTATTAAAATTAAAGTTTCTTAATTGATTGACATTTATTTGTTGTTATCTATAAGGTCATATTTTTTTGATCCACTTATTTTACTGACTTACAAAAAAAATAGTTGTTTTCTAAGAAAACATTGATAATTTATTTTGTAATGATTGAATTGCATTCATCATATCACTATTATTTCTAGGGGAGTTTAATTTTATTAATTAAGGGACTATAATAAACGGATGTCATTTCAAATGAACGATGCATATAATATGATGTGAAAATTCCCATATTTAATAAAGTATATATCACTAAGTGTGTGAAATGAATAATTGGTAATCGCTACTGGGTATAATTTGAAAAAGACTACATCGTATGCAGATCGCCTCAATATTGCTTTAAATCGCATGCATTATAAGCAAATATAGATAGTGATTAGCTGTGAAATCTAGGACGCGCGTTTTCTCCTATTTAGGACTCGCCAGCTGGATAAACTTGCATTTCAGAGTCTTTGACAGAACACATATACATTGGTACAAGGAGGCACCAAATACATATGTGCCACATAAATCATTCGATTTGTGTGAGGGCTAGGATACTGCCCGGGTGTCCAGACCGATGCATGTAGTTTTCTTAGGGGATCACACCACGAGCCTTGGACCCAAAGGTCTGACCCATAAGACAATGGAGTATCGTGAGGAGATTCAGTCCCATGGTAGCCGGTGACCGACGATTGGTTCATACGCCATTTGTTCCTGCAGGATACTGGAGCCCTTGTGCACCATTGACTTGGAATCCGGTTAAAGAGCCGGACATTCGCCTTTCGTCCTCTCAATTTCGTAAAGAACACCCCCGCCACGAGAAGGCAGTGAGTAGGACTTCTCTGGCAGAGGCTGTATACGCGTGGCCGTGAGAGCATCTCGAGTGGGAGGGCGGGCTCACCCCACTCTCGGCCATACCAGGGCATTTGGGTGTCTGGACAGAACATGAGAGTTTAACTCAGAGTTGATATTCACTCCGGGACTGTAGGCTGCAGGTACATTTAGCTGACGAGTCTTAGATAGGACGAAACGTATGTTCTACAGTCCACTGCTAACCACCATCCATCTCTGCTGATAATAAATAAAATTGTCTACATCTATTTGAAGTTTTAATTTCGCTTTGTAGAATGGAAAATGTATCATATATAACCGATATATTGCCTAAATTAACTGTAACCATCTGTTTTTTATATACTTGACTAACATAATCAGATATAGAAAGAAAGAAATTTACCTTAAAAACTGTGCTTACCTGATAATGCATGCAGATTTGTAAGCAGCATCGGTTACTCGAACATGTTGCATGTACGTGATTAATCCAGTTTCCAATTAGATCTTATGTTCGGCTATGCAATCCTGGAAAATTGTGTTATTTAGATTATCTTACATATTAGGGTGTTCAATTTTTTAAACCATGCAATCATGGATTTAAACACTGGCCTTCATCAGTTAAGGCAGTTGAGTAGCGTAACTAAAAAGTATGGTTCATAGTTGAGTATATAAACCTAAATTTGTTTTTTAAATTGTGTGTAAAGCATCTATGAAATTCCTGTCTTATTTTTTTATCTCTAAAAACATTTGACAGTATTCAAGTATACGATCAAATTGTTCAGGTGGATGGTCATAGTTTGGTTGGTGTCTCTCAACAATTCGCAGCTCAAGTACTCCAAAATACTGGGGAAATCATTCAGTAAGTACCTTTTCAATGTCGTTTCTTCACTTATTTCTGTAACACTAACTTACGCCGTTTATAAATGACTCCACTATTTTTTTCACTGTTTCTACACGATATGTAGTCCATGAAATCATTACTTCCCTAAAGCCTAAAATCAGAACAAGACAAATTATCACAAATCTTTGTATAATTTCGATCCGTAAGTTTTAGGAATACACTGCGCAACAATTTGTGAATCTCAATAAATATACATTACTGAGATATTTTTAATCGAAAATTGTCAGTTAGTCATATGCAACAAATGAAGCTTTACACATATACAATCAGTTCGAATTGCTACGTCACGCTAACACAATAAGATGCTAGAGTGGTATAAGTTGTAGTAGTATTATTGGTAGTAGGAAAGACTAGTCATAAAAGATATGATTCAAGAAGAAAGTATAGATTAGTGGAATAGGAAGCCTAAAATCCATGGGAAAATAAAGATTGAATCCATCAGCAGTATTGCAAATGATTCTGAGCTATGTCACTCGGTCTCTAACCATTAGTTAAGGTATTCGTGTTTGTCCTAATCAAGTAGTCTGAACCTAATTATATGACTCACTCTAACATTTAGTGTCTTTATATACTGATGCCATGTCTTGGTTTGGCCGCCTCATGCTTTCTCCAACATTAACACTATACCAGTCATCATCACGCGTCCTGTTTATCGGTGAATGTTCTGTGATTAATACATATCCTAAGCATCTCATTTGAGAGGGATTCATTACCTCACTAACCTGTTTTCCATCTTTAACTAGTACTTTGAGTTTAACCTCAGAATTGCTAATCCGATGGTCCCGAAGTATACAACCAGTAGTTCATAGACGTATGGTCGAATCGTAGTAACCTACTCAATAAGTAGCGCACAATTATTTTATGGCGTTAATCAATAGTTTTGTATATAGTTTGAAGGTAATTTTTTTCATGCTTTGACAACAACAAAAAATTACACTAATAACTCTATCAAATGTGTTTATAGATATCCAAAAATAAATTTGTATATATTTGAGATGGTGGAGAAAATGTTTTACTTAGTTGAATGATTTAGGTGAAATTTTTTGTCTTTGCTCGATGGTTTGATCATGTTATGCTGACAAAGACATTCATAAAGAAAATAACGTTGTTGTCCTGTGGAAGCCTGCCTCTTGATTAGATTGTCCGATTTTCTAACAACCGAAAGCGTGCTAGGCTCGTATGATTTTGAGATGATAGTGAAGATTTGTAGTTCAGGTAGATGATTTAGATGGAGTTTTTTCTTCGAGCAAACCATCCAGCTCAGCGAAAATCTTCATTATATTTGTGTATACGTGTTATTTTAAAATTTCAACCGCAATTATCCTTTCTTTTTTTCCGGTTATTTAGTAGTAGTAGTTGTTGTTGTTGACTTCACATTTAATCGTTTCTTTTCAATGTGTTTTACTTTAGTTTTGTTCTAGCCAGAGAAAAAGATCCACCTAATTCTCGCATAGCAAAAATATTGACAGAAAAACAACAAGAGGAAGACGAAGAGAATAATAAGGAAGGAGAGGAAAAGGCGGTTGAGAAAGAGTCAAAGTTGAATAATAATTCATCTGATAAATGGTTAGATTTTATCATTTTAATTTGATTGTCAAAGTTATTTTTATCGTTAACTAAGTGTGGGAATATAATATCGGGAAAGTTAACAGGGACTGACTGATTTCACAGCACATGTTTTTTTTATGTATATAGCTTTATTTAGATAAGACTGGTGATAATTATAGCCTCTCTTATATAATGAATATTTTGCACAGTAACTCCATTGCATTGATTATTAATCCATCCAGTCTATTTATGAATAAATATGACTGAAGAGTTGATGGTAATCTGACTGTTAATTATTAAAGATTCGGATGTACCTAATAGTATTCACTCTTATCATACAGGATAATTTACATTTTCATCGATTCATACATCATTCAGCTTACAGACCAACCATTTTTTAGTTTGTGAATAACTAGTTCTATTGTTTTTTGCATTCATACCTGTCCTTGTTATGGTTGTCATCGGTTAACATTTTAAAACGTTAGCAATATATAATTGAAACATTTCCAATATTTTGTCTGATGAATTTTACAGGAAGGCGCATTTTGAGATCGATTTTAGACGGCCGAAATAAAACCCTACTATTCTGAGGGGTTTGTGCTAGTTGGCACTAATCAGTAAGACGTATATGTAGTCTCGTCGGGACTGATTTTACCTGGTGGATTAAAATTGTGAAACTGGGTGGTCCGGATTTTAATATACCGTGGTGCATCAGTCTCGCAAAGCATTAGGTACGCCTTGTTGTTGTACGCTAACTATTACGAAATGATAGACATATAGGAGGGGTTCTTTAACCACCTAACATCAAATCACAATTCACTCGATATTGAGTCAAAAAAACTAGTGGCCACAATTCAACTCTTCGTTGATAGAATTCAATCAGTACTAGGGACTCAAAAAACATCCTGGGTTCTACGTTGCATACAACTGACTAGATGAACATGACGCTTGTCGTTGTTCAGTGATCAATCAATGTAATGGGATTGACTATGTTCAGTTTTTTTCCCAGTTCACTTCTACTACTACTATTGTTCATTAACTTGTGGTTCTTTTTTCTATTTTACTTTTGATCAGTCAAGAGGTTGTGTCTACTCAAACCGATAATCCTGTAAATGTAAGTTTCTTTAAAAAATGTTTTGTGCATTCCATTAATTTCCTAATTTATTTGCGTTCACTACAAGTACGTAGAATGTATGTAAATTATGACTTAATCCAGTTGTTTGTTTATACATTATTATGACCTTATTTAATTAAACATAGAAGTATAATAACAATATTATTTAATAACTATTGAATAATTTTAGATGGTATACTTTTCATCAACGTTACATCAACAGATTAGCATAACAGAGCGATAAATAGTGTAAAAATAATAATATCACTTGTACCTACAACAAAAATTCATAAAAAACAAATTGAATTAAAAATAAGATATTCCTGACTTACAGAATGCCCAGTAATCAGTCAGTCAGCTACAACGCCAGTAATAAATAAATTAGAGTTTATATGAAATAGTTTATAATCATATCAATTTAAGTTTCATGATTGTCCAGCTAGAAATTCTTCATATTTTTACAATAGATCAGTGATTATTAGTTTAAGAGGATTGATGGCATATGTATTTGACTGGGAACCCTTAACTCTATCATTAAATCTATTATTCTGATAGTGAACATATTACAAATTGTGATGTTTAAACATTCTCTACCTTTGAGTAAAAGTCTATTGGATTGGAGGTGTTAAACGATTATCTGTTTTTAACATATGAATTAGTCAATTATCCCACCCCCCCTCAACCAACCGAGTCCATATAGTATTGATAAATTATTCTATCTTCTATATTAATTTAACCTATAGTAATTGTAATTATTTATTCTAAATGTTAATTTCTGTTTTATATCGATTATATTCATGGTAAATTGATTAATAATTGGACAAATCAATAAAATATTTTTGTCTGATATAAATTAGACAATGCTTATTCATACAATAATTTTGCATTCTACATATTTCTGTCTATCTTTCTCTATATCATTTATCTTATCATAAAATATGACTCATTTTCATCTGATATAAATACTACTTATTATCATAGATCTACAAAATTTCTTTTATCTATATTATTCACTATGAGAATTTGTTATTTAATTTTATGCATAACATATGAAATAATGTTTATTTCTATTTTTATTGAATGTTTCGGTGATATTTTTCTTTTATATAGTTAAAACAAATTTCAAAAAAAAATAATTATTTTCATGATCATGTCTACCCTATTTCTATGTCAGTATTGTTGGTTAATTCTCGGTCTTTGTTTTGTTGTTGTTGTGGTTATTATTATTATCCTTTACAATCTATTGGTTGGAAGAAAGTTAGGGGCAGCCAAACCAAAACGTGGCATCAGTGCTTGAAGTCACTAACTTCTAGTCTGAGCCATGTTGGTAGATGAAGACTACTTGGTTGGGGTCCGCATGACTTTCGTAACCAATGGTTGGAGACTCTTGGTGACATGGCTCAGAATCGATCACAATGGCGTCGGTGTATACACTCCCTGTCTTCTCTTAAACTAAGAGATTAAAATCGCTTCATATCTTTCTTTCTACGAACCAATTCTTCCTTCTTGTACTATATCTCCATATGCAATCTTTCTCTTATATATTACCACCTTTTACCTAACCACTGTTATGAATCTGGTGTTCATCTTGTTGTGTTGATGCGGTATGGCAACCTGGACCGATGCACATGTGTGCCTGGTCCTACGTTGTAGCTGACTGACTGACTGACTTACAATCTATTCAATATATGACATTACAATTCACTTAATAATTGATTATTTCTTCTATTCTTACCTCACCATCTATTTGTTTCACTCATTTATGAGCTTCATCTTCTAACTCTTTCATAAATTATTTATTTGATTTGATTTTTTTCATCTTTTTTCTTTTAAAAATTCTAATATTTACTAGTTAAAATGAAATGAAATGTAAGAAAAGTGATAGATTTATAACACAATGTAAATTGGGTTAGAATTAGTGATGTTTATACAGTTAGTTTTTTGTTTGTTTTTGGAAACCCACCCAATTACTAAACTTTTTTTTTAAAAAAAGTCACAAGATTAATAGACATTAAAATGTATAGTATTATCATTTTATAATGCATATTTTTAGAATTTTTCTTGTATGTCATTTATTCATTTATGTACATATTAAGGTTGTTTATCAGTTGAGATTTGTTCAACATACTTATCAGACTGAGTAAAAATTATTCCTCACTTTATTACTACTACTATTATTATCATTATTATTCTCAAGTACACTGCTTTTTTGTAATTATATCATAAAACATTTTTTTATAATTAGCTAACAACAGTATAACTAAAGGTACTTATTATTTAAAGTATTGCAAAACATGGACGTGTCAACGGATATCGTATCATCATTGTGATGTTTATCTTAACGTACTAAATTTTTAATAACTTATTTTATTTTTATGTTTAGTCAGTTTTATTCTATTGAGTTTTCAATTCTTATAATGATATTTATTCACCTATGGAATGGAGTAGCTCAGTGGATAAGGTGTCCAGTTTTCAACAATTAAGTTCCAGATTTGAATCTCTCTTCATATATCTTGTTTTAGGCAATCAAGTAGTATGTCACTAACCGTCATACTTAGATTATAGATCGAAGTTTAGTATGACAATCTGTACCTAATGGATGACATGATCATAATAATAATCCATTCAATTTAACAATTAGAGATGGTTAGGTAACGTACTTATAGGATGATGTTGATGGTTATCCAGAGAACTATCACTGCCTTATTTCGGCTGTGATATTTGTCTGTTTTTTGGGGGAGGGGGTTCTTACACTAAAACATAAACTCGTTCTTTTGGTGATCGTATATTTTCTTTTACATTTTTTGGTCAACAAGTCACAATCTAATGATATTATTAGCGATCATGTTAAATTCCAACACCAGAAAAAATACTTTAAATACGTCAAAATAATCATTTCAAGGTTTTGATGTTCATTGGCCCTCTATGGATATTCTGTGCAACAAATCAGCGAAATTAGTGACGTTACACTAAACTAAATGTGTCTAGTTTTCATAATAAGATGAGGTTGACTTACTTGCTTACACCTATTACCCCTCGTGGAGGAGCATAGACCGCCCACTTGGATTCTCCATCGAAATCTGTCCTGAGCAGTCTTTTCCAGCTGTCTCCAGTTGTTATTCATTCTTTTGAAGTCTGCTTCCGATTACCGATGCAAGGTGTTCCTCGGTCTTCCTCTTTTTCCTTTCCGTTCGAGATTCCACATTAGTCACTTGAGGAAAAATTCTAGTTGCTCACATCTTTCCAAAAAGATAAAGTTTTGACGATTGAATCCCCTAACTCACAGAACGTAACGTCATCAAAATATGTATCTGTAGTGATTGAGTTGGATAGTATTATACTCGTTTTATCCGAAGTGTTGTTTTCAGTCCTATGTATATTCTTGAATTTAATGAAAATAAGAAATTCTTATTTCATTGTTTAATGATATTAGTAGTTATAGTTTTATTGTATGTTTTACCATGATTCTTTATTCGTTTTTCTCTTTCACCAATAACTGTTTAATGAATAATTAAAAACTTGAAATAAACATATACGGATAAGTTATTCACTTTGAATACCTTATTGGCTCATACTTAATGATCGGAGTTTTTGGTTTAGGAAAAAAGAACACTCCATAAATATTTATATGTTATTGCCCTAACACTTACCAATTGATGAGAATTGTGGCTCAAGGATGTATACATAAATATCTACTTAATAAATAAATGCCATAATAATAATAATATAATTTGTTTATTGGTCATTTTTCTCCGTAAGCATATTACATGTATACATATTTTTGTGTGTTCGGTTTTTCAGTTATCAGGTGGTGATTCTACCGAAGCTTTACATAATTTGATTGCTGTAGCTACACGATCATTGAAAGAAGCTAAACAATGGAACAAGGATGATGATGAGGAAGAGGAGGACGAGGATGTGATAGCTGTTGATGAAAGTAGTGTAGATTATGATATGGAATATCTTAGTGTTAATAATAATGATACAAACGATTCATCACCTGTAAACAGTCTTTTTCAACAGTTTAGAAAATCTTCAAGTGGTAGTGATAATGTAAAATCATTAAATGGTTATTCCACTGGCTTAAATTATCAACAATCTAGCCCTCGATCAGCATTAAAAGGTACAGCAACTGCAGCATCGACTCGTCGACGTAATGAAGCTATCATGGAGTATATTCGTCAAGCTGTACTTATCCAAGATAATGTATATTTACCAACTGATCTAATTAATAAAAGTGACTACACTAATAAAAGTCAAAATTCAGATATAACTACAGACTGTGTTAGTACAGTGTCTTGGGCACTAGCCAGTGAATTGCATGATCATAGAATTCAACTACGAAAATTCCAATCACGTATTCGAAATCTAGAACAACGTGTAAGTTATTTAATCTGTATATATATACTTTATTAGTACAAAAATAGTGTAATATTCATTCTAATTGATTAGATATCCATAGCACATTGTACCATACAAATGAAATTGATATCTTCAGTTTCATTTTAGATACGATTTCACAATGTCAATAAAAATTAATCTCTTAACTTAAATTAATTTTAATTGTATGTTGATAACTCAGTTGTTGGTTAAGTAAACATTTAAACTATCATTCCTATAATACGAATATAAATGACAATTGTCCCACAAATTACTTATTTTCGGTGTTGTTTTTTTTCAAATCTCATATAGTTGACTGCTCAAGAAGCTGCAGCGGATGAAGCGATAGAAAGACTTTGTCTACGTTGTCGTCATTTGGAATTAGAGCTTAAACAATCACAACAAAAATGTTCACAACTAATCATGTCACCAAAACAGCAGAATATCTCAAACTCTAATAAGTTAGTTTAGTTTTACATTATTTTTACCCTAAATAATGTCTATCTTTAGTGCTTATATATATCAGTTATTTGGTTATCTGCAACGTAGGACCAGGTATATATATGCATCGGTCCAAAGTTACCATACCTCATTAGCGCAACAAAATAAATACCAAATTCATAGTAGCAGTTATTTCAATTGTAAGATAGGACACAGCGAGAAATAATTAGTTGGTAGAAAGAAAGGTAGAAAGTAATTTTATTCTCACGGTTTAAATGGAGACAAAGAGTGTATCCACCTACGCCATTGTGATCGATTCTGAGCCATGTCACCCATAGTCTCCAACCAATGGTTACGATAATTGTGCGGCCCCCCAGAAGTTAGTGACTTTATGAACTGATGCCACGTTTTGGTTTGACCACCCCCAACTTTGTTCCATCCATCTCCAACACTAATCAGCATTGCGCACCGCGGTAATCGGTGGTTGGGCATATGTACCATATGTTATATATATATCTGATATTCCATCTTTTTCGTTAAATTTCAGCTACTCTCCTGGAGCTAATAACTTATGTAATCCAATATATCATTCAGTAAGTACATACAATGTATAAATTACTTATTATAAATTTATACTGTCTCTCTACACTGCCGACTCCCCATAGTTTAACAATGTTGAATAATTCCATATTTGTTAACAAACTGAGTACCTATGGCTTCTAATTAGCAATGAGTTTATTACATTATAGTTGTATAAAGATTAATTTGATGCGAAACAGATTATATTTGGAGAGGATAACATCTTTTTTGTGAATTTTCTTTTGCATCATAACTTCATTGCTGCAGATGTCGGATAATAGGTTTATAATTGATATTTCGAAATTATTTCCTTTTCTATGCCTGCTTTAAATTGCTTACCTTGCTGCATATCACTTCCTTAAGCCTCTTTTATTTCTTATCTAATCTGTTTTGAGGATAACGACACTTTGTTTTGATCACATGACTCTTAGGTTTCATGTAAACACTATGTCTTAAATATAACATAATTTGATATCTCCCCACTAAATAATAATATCAAAACTGATCTGACCAGCCTCATGAAAGCGGCACGTTTTCTGTAATCAAATAAGTTATAATTATGTCTGTTTAAAGCAACTCGTGACTATTGAACGGGTATGGGAGCGGTGAATTCCAGTAAAGTGGTTAAAAGTAGATCTATTTTTCTTTTGACAGCACTAGAAATGTAGTGTTTTACCTTTCATGTCAGCATCGGTAAAATTCAGATTAAATTCCGTTAATTATGTTTTCCAGCCTAGTGTTGTTTTTCGTTTTCTTGTAACCATTTTTATATTTTATCCCACTCTTATACTTGGGTTAATTCAAAACTCGCCGGTTGTTTACGAATAACTTTCTTATTACCATATGGTAAGTGCTTCATCTATTTCTCACTCACATCATCCTCCCTATTTTCCACCCCCGCCTATATATTACTGTTCATAACTAATTACTGAGTAAAACTATGTTCATTTTTAAGGTGAATCGTTGTTTCCCCATTGATTCTATTAATAATTTATATGATTTGTTTTATGTTGGCATTTTTTACTTATATCTTGTAGACTATTGTAATTATTATACCAGTAAATAATATTCGTAAATTTTATTTTTGCCTTTAAATGATAGTTGCTGACCTTATGAGGTAGTCCTTAGCATAAATATTAATGATTATCACCTCAAGTTCTACAAAAGTTGTACATGGTTACTACTAAGTTAAATAGTTGAACTGTTTTCTAATTCCCATTTTTGTCATATATTCACTAATATCACTTGATCGTGTTTAATAATATGGTGTTATCGTACTGTTTTTGTGACTGTGTAGTTGATGACCTTATTGCTAGAACTGTCTATAATGTCAACTATTATAAAATTATTTATTCGAAACTGACTTCATCTAATCTAGTTTAGATAACCTAGTCTAGGTACATACAACTTTTGTTATCCAAAATTGAATATATAAGGAATTTGATGAATTGATTTCTTATACACTATTTACTTGAACTACATTTAGCAATCATAATCTATCACATTAGCCTTGGTATTTATAATGTTTTGAAATAAGAGTGTTGTTTATGTAAGAAACTCACCATTGTGTTTTTAAGAATACATTTAGTGATGGATGTAATTCTTTCCACTTTCAAATATTATTATCATCATTATTATTGGCATTCAGTCAATTTCTCTCGTTGTCTGTTTCCTTCCTATTGTATATATTCTCATTCAGAGAAAAACAATTTATACCGTTTATCTCTATCATATTAACTTCATTACGTATATTAGCGTTAGATATCGTCTTTTATCATTAAACTTTTAAATTAACCTATATTTAACTGATATTTTAATTATGATGAATTATATAGAATGATTATTTGTGAACTATATATTACCCTTTGTTAAAGTTGTTTATATCCTGATTTTAAAATTCAAATCTCTTTGTTTTTCTTATTCATTTTAAGTCGCTGTTGAATGCATCAACGTACAAAGATGATGATGGAGTGGTGGTGTCTAGGGAAAATCCTGGTAAATTTTAGTTAAGACTTTCTAATCTTATATATATATATATATATATATATATATATATATATATATATATATATATATATATATATATATATATATATATATATATATATATGCTTATGGATTTCTTTGACTTATTATTTATTGAACATTGGCAAATATATTATATACAAGTGATATTAAAAGCAAAGATGAATGTGACATTGATAAATCACAGCAGGTAATAATTTATTTATCTCTATAAAAGTATTTGTACTATTGATCAATCGATGTGATCTCCTATTGCTTGGTGTTCATCAATGACAATTGTTCAAGATACTCTACTTATTTTTCTTTCTGTACATTTTATATACACAATTTACGAAACTAAAGCGATTTTTCACTAATCTAACTATTAATACCCATACTGTATGCCATTAATTATGCAATAAGGATATTTTGAATAAACAATATTAATGTCATTTATATCTAATATTAACAAGTAAGTTTCAAACTCGACAATATTCGACCCAATTTTAAAACTTAGGTTAATTCTAATTTGGCCATTTATTATATGAAGAAATAGCTTACATTGAATCACTAAACGTTAGAAAATCTAATTTTTCTACTCATTTGGATAATACTAGTATATTATTTTTATTATCATAAGGGTTTTTGTGGAGATTTTAGAAATTTCCACTGATTGAAAGAAATCATGAGTCAAATGAAGCTAGACCACCATCAAAAACCTGGAAGCACTCGACGGCCGTTTTGTCCTAGTATGAAACTCCTCAGCAGTGCTCATCCACGATCCCGCACCCCGCGAGATTCGAACCCAGGACCTATCAGTCTTGCGCCAACCAACCAGACCACTGAGCCCTCATCCAACATTGTTAATGTCTAACTTCAATCAATCCACGAAGTTGCGCCACCGTTCACCATTGTCATCAGTGAGTTGATATCTCACAACAGACCTAGTTGAACTCCATTAGTAACGGCTTCTCACTAGAACTCCAGACCACTGAGCCAGCATCCAACATTGTTAATGTCTAACGTCAATTGACTCATGATTTCAATCAGTATATTATTTTTATTTATAACATCTACCCAATGCTGAATTTACTTGAAATCATCAAGTCAAACCTTAGTAATGATACATGCTGTGTATAACATAGTTGTTTTTCTTCTCTTTTTAAAAAAAAATCATTAAGTGGAATATACAGCTTAATTTTGTATTTGTTAATATCTATATTAAATTAATAATAAAGTGAATTATATAAAGTTCAACTATGTAAATAATTGTAGCCTAATTAATAAGTATTGTTTACATAACATTCATTATCTATTATGATGTTTCATACTTTTTATGTTAGTTACAAAACAATATGATTTTGTTTTGTTTTGTTTGTTTGTTTTTCTTTTAAAGTTCATTTTCTAGTTTTTAAATCAATTAAATCTTCTCATTTACCAATCATTGACAATTTCTTCTTTTTCTTCTTTCTTGATCTTTAAAAGTATTTATGTTTGTTTATCTTTCTATTCTTTTTATCTTTAATACTGTCTATAGTTATTTGAACTTTTTCAATAGATATTGTTTAAATTTGTCTCTATTACATAATAATGCTGGTATTTTAATAAAAATAATAATAATAATCATAAATCTATCTTAACTATAGATTAAGTGAAATACCGTACATTGGAAATAGTTTCTGTGATTACGTTGAATTCATATGTTGATCATATCTGATTAGATTACTTTTAGATTATATATACATCAATAATATTGTAAATATTACATTATTGTTGTGTGTATTATGTTGTCCACATAGATATCATGAATTACTCAAATTTATATTTGTGTGATCATCGATTTCATTAACATTGAATTTCTTTGTTGTTGACATTAATCTTTATTATTAGTGTTGCTCTTTTTTCTGTCACTTGGTGTACAGATTCAAAAATTATCATTTATCGCCTCTATTCTTTGACTATATAATTATGTAATATCTTATAGAACTCGTGATTACATCAGTATAATGATGATTTTAATAGAAGTATAGATGAATGTTGTACATCCTCTCAGCGATAGTAAAAGTAAAGGGTCGTATATTTCGAGTGGAAATCAATAAATGTTGGTCCGAAATAACATTACAGTTTCGATGTAATAATTACTGCGTGTATTAAGTTAACATTAAAAAAAAATTACCTTTCAATTTACTCTCTAATACCATTAAAATAAATTTTTTGACTTGAATCTTTTCCATCTTAAAAGTCTAAGAACCTATTGTTGTGCATGGTTGACTACTTATAAAGCCTAGGGCTTGTTATAATTGTTCAACTTTCATTTGAATAATCGAATTTCCAGTTAGTAAATAATAAATAAGGTTAATTAGATAGGATTGCTAGAAGTTCTGTCACCCTTACACCATAAGCATGTTTAATTCCATCAAACTCTCAATACTCTCTAACTATTCAACATATTTTCCCTCTTGTGTTTTATTAAAAATTTCAGTTTCACAAAATTAGTTCTTATTCAACTTAATAGATTATTCAAATTTGTAAATAAATGTGTTTCCGAATAATTAAGAGAGAAATTGAACTATTGAGATAACCTAAATATTATATCCTATGTAGCAGTTTTTACATCTTTCTTTTTATAAAGACTGTATATGCTAAATAATCAGTTCCATTGACCATTATCCTGTTCTTGAATGTCATTGTTTCTCCCGATATGTTTGAGTTTTTTTTGATAACTCAAATTTTCGTACATTTGATACCCTGAATACCTCGGATAAATGATTTCAACTCTAAGTCCGGTAGATCAAATAATCAGTTCCACTACAAATTTGTTAACATTTTATCGTTATAAACAATTTGTTAACATCATTAATATTATTATTGCTTAATAATAATATGATATTCATTTTAAGTACTGACTAATGTTAACTGTTTATCGCTTTTTTTCCCTTTTTCTCTTCTTTATACAACAGTTGAATTTAGCTAACTTCCACAAAAAAAAACAAATTGCATGTGATTTTATGTTTGTTCGCTTGAGTTTCGTTTTGTTTTGTTCATTCGTTAATTATCAATTATTGTTTATTTGTCCTTTCGACATTGATAATGTTTTTACTAAGAAATACAAACACATGCCTTTAACTGTGAGCAAACAAATCCAAAAAAGGGGAATACACAAGATGCATTGTTGACTAAAAGACTGTCAAATTATTTTTTACTGCTAAAAAAGACCCATCAATTTTTCGATGTTTCTTTACTCCCACTCTTTGTTTATCTTAGTTTTTGTCTATGAATTGTGTGTAATTTTCTTTATTAAGTTTAATCCCACCAAGTTCACTATATATATATATATATATATATAGTGTTGATGAAATGTGGATGACTGACTGACTATCCATCGTTGTTATGCTTAACGCTGAATAACATTTAATTGATTTTACTGTACATAAAGCATCTTTTTTCTTAAACATATACAAATACTGCATGCCCACAACTCTATTTTTTTCTTGTAAGAAAATCAAAGAATCAATTATCGGTGCTTCTTTAGCCATGTGAATATTGATACTTACAATGAGGCTATTATTTACCTTGAAATAAATTTAGTACGATCAACAGGTCTCTCAATCTGTATTTCCCTTACACAAATACCTGAAAAATACAGTTCATATACATTCGTAGGTAGAGTTCATTAATTAACATTAATTGTTTTGATTACTGTTTTATTAAACTTGTCTACTTTCTGATTTTACTGTAGACAATTACATCTAGATTTAGTGACTAATTTATAATTCATACCCAATTATGTCTATTTTTCTTTTAAAAAATCTCTTTTTTCCCCCCATTTTTGTTTTGTCAAGTATGTGATGTATGACTGTCCATTTTTAAATTCATTCTATGTTTTTGTTCTCCGGCTTGTTAATTCCAATCATTATAGTTATCATTACAATTATTATTACTACCTTTATTGTTATGAATATTAGTATTATTACTATTAGTAGTATTGTTAATCATCAATGTGCCTTTTAAACCTGTAAACAATTATATGAATAAATACTTGTTCCAATTGTTAGTTTCACTGTTTCTTTTTCAAATATAAACTGGATGAATAATTAGTTCGATAAATAAAAAGACAATAAAATCCCGATCGCTTTTTAATACTTTACAAAACAACACTTCAATCCGCTAATCAATTCATCAGTTTGTTACAAAGATACGAATTCGTTTTTTAAACAAAAATAATTTGAATATCCAGCTGTGTATCAATTTCTGCTCGTAGAACGGTGAATCAGTAGTTAAGGGATTTGGCTTTCAACTATTAAATTGCAGATTTGAACCTCTCTTCTCTTACTTTGGCTTAGTTAACCGGGTAGTTTATCATTAGCCGTCATCTAGAGTTTCTGTACCTGTCTAATAAGTGAAATAAATTAATCAAAAGAGCTATTGAATTTGCCGGTTGTAGAACTTTAAATATTATCAACTTTGGCAGGAAATTACTAAGCTGAACAGTTATTTAAAGCGATTGGTTTGTGTTGGCATTATCACTAAATTGGCTTGTATCGAGCTGTTTACTGTGTTGAACACATCCCAATGTTGCTAAAGTTGTTAACAGTACCTGCATAGATCAATCATTCTGAATAAGTTAAATTCTGTTCTAATTTAGATTATTTCAGTGCATGATTACTGTATAGCTCTACAGTTGAATGTGCACAAAATAGTGCGTTGTTGTTTTTTGTTCTTTATTCTTCAAGTACAAATACTTCATGGTTTTAGATAACCATGACATCTTAGTTGAAATAGCCGATACAATTAATTGATGATATGGTCACGATTTGTTGTTAGTTACCAACTTATTATATCATAAATTTAATTGTTAACGCACTGTGAATTATACCAATAATAAATGTTAATTCAAGTTAAGAGTCTCTCAGATAATCTTCGATTTTACTTGTCGTTTTTATGTTTAGTGCTGAACGGCAATCGATTCACACATCGAAACAGGGTTTTTTTCGGGTTGATCTGATCACATCTATTAGATAACTTCCGAATATTTATCTCACATGAGGTTACAGAGCGGTGAATTTACTGCTAATTTATCTCCGTATGATTATATGAACTAACTTAAATCATTTAGTTCGGTAAATACTAAGTATAGACATTTTATGGGACTGATTATCAATACTTTGGACAATTATTTGATTAGTTATTTGAATTCATGTGTAAGCCATCTCAAATGAAACAGGGATTTTCTTGGTAATCCGTTCAACTTTTGGGTCACAACTTTATCACATCAATAATGGGTTTGGATGGTGGGTAGTATCAGTATTTATTATAAACGACCACACAAATTTTTACGTTGGTTACTGAATTTCACTAATATTATTATTCAGAATTCACAATTTTCAGACTTATGTCGTCATGTCAGCGTTAACAAATTCGATCAACCAAGTTACATTTTAGTTATACTCCAAGTGTTAGAATAGTTAAGAATAATGCTCGAATTCTATGGTGTGAAAAAAAAAATCACTTTCACACAATCGAACTGTACTCAGTATGTGATTTTAACCATTAAATATAACTGGGGAATATCCCTATTCACACTATTTTCATGAATACAAATAACCTAAGTAGCATTTCCACAATATTTATATCTCACCATCAAATTATCCTTGAATAATGGGTACTTCTAACTGTAAAATTGATATATTAGTAATGTTTATATTATAAAACCAACTTATTTATTTAGAATAGAGATCGATGATGAATTTTGTATGATCTAGGATAATAACTTTACATAATACATTTTAGCAAAATCTTGTTAAAGGCAGAATTACGTCTAAACTTAGTTTAAATATGTAAAGAGTAACATAATGCTAATTTATGTCTCTAGTTAAATAACTGATGAGTTCAATGATGTGTCCCCCATAACATAATAGAATTTCTTCATTCAAAAGTCTATATAGACCTTTAATTCAAAAAAAGAATTTGACTTTAGGATATAGTAACAGTGTTTCAAATGCTATTCTACCTATTGTTCACATCATATTTCTCATCTCTAGATTATTTCACTTACTTGAACCAATCAATCATGCTACAGTATTACTATTACTTCGAAACAATTCTATAATTGTTCCTTCTTTTTTTTTATAGTTTGTTTCTTTCGCCTTGCTAATTTATTTTTACCGCTTTATGAGATTTTTTTTCATACCAGAATTCCTAAACCATTTGTGTTTCTAATTATGCAATTTTTTGTTCAATATATATTCATTTTAATATAAGTTGAAATTTCTATAGATATATGTATGATTATTGCACATTGATTGTTGAACATTAACTGTTGGTTATGAATTATACTAATATTTTATCAATATTAAGAATGAGAAAATCAATTCACCATATGTAATGTAGAACAGATTCCTTAATATTCAATTGATATTACCATTTTTGCATTGTGTTGCATGATAGAAATTTTAGTTTTCTTTGTTTTCAATGGATAAGAAATGGCTTTCTATTGCAAATATTGTTATGATGATGATGATATGCTGAAATGTCTTGCTTGCTTTAATGTTTTTCAAAAAAAAAGAGAATGTTTTAACTGAATGAGTTATGTATTATTTTAAGTAAAAGTATTTAAATAGAATATTTCTACTTTGATTTTTCTAATTGAATTCATAGATGTTGTATTGAAGAAATGTTTTGGTCTAACTGATACTGATGAATCTATAGTTTCAATTCCAAATCATGTAAGTCCCAAGGTGTCAGCGTATGGACCTTACTCTTCTGGTGATCAAGATAAAATTGAAGTGAACGGTTCTACTGATAACCCTGTGAATGTTATACATGATGGTTATTCAACTACCGTAGAAGTACCATTATTTGTTAGACAAATGGAAGATCGAACTCGAATTGTCAGTTCAGGCGGTTTAGCTCGTCGACGTCCACCTACAAAAATTGTTGTAAGTTTGATCAATTTTATAATTATAACTGTTCTGTATTTTAATAAACGAACTTCTTTGAACGATAATAAATCATATATTACATGTGTACATACATCTGTAGACGTCTGTATACTTACACGTAAGTTGTGCTAACTCACATATTATTATTATCATTTTTCTTTAGCTTCAGTTCGCCTTCTCACTTAAGCTCATTTTAGCACTTCATCGCTGAGAGATTTTTGTTCATTTATTTTCTTGGTGGCTTCAGTTTATTTCGATATCTTAGAATCATTGAGTATAGTTCAATTATTTAATAAGCATAGTCAATTTTAGGCTTAGAACACTGTAAAGTTTGTAAATCAACTGATGAGGTCATCAGTCGTCACTGATTTTAGTAGTTGTAAAATAAAATACACATACTTGCTAATTGTCATTTGCCCTATACGCACCTACTAATAAATCTTTGAATTTTTTTCTGGTTCTTTATATATTACTGTTTATTTCTAGTTTCCAATTATTTCTTCTAGCCCTTTACTATTACTGCTATCAACATTTTTACTTATTTTTAGTAGAATTTAAACCCCACTACACATTGGTAACAGGATCATATATTATCTTGTCATTAGTTCCATTGACTCCCCATTGACTTCCCATAACTAATTGATAGCCCAGCAACTTAATATCAAAATATAGTGCACGTAATGACCGAAGACTTTGACCAGCGGTCACATTGTATATAAATATCCAGCTATATATATATATTCATTTTATGACATGTATGTGTAAACAGTGGTTTTATTAATTTGTTGAATAGCTATTTCAGTAGAAAGTTCTTTCTTGAGTTGAAACAAAATTTTTCCTTGCTTGAATTGCTTTACCAAATTTTCTTTATATCTCAATATGTTTCTTTCGTGTCTCCAGTTTTTTTGTTCGTCATATGATATGTTGTTTCATGACTGTTTTCCTAGTTCTAAGAATATTCAATTAATTCTATCTGTATAGTTTCATATCTGTTCACGAACATGGAAAAAACTGTCGATGAGCACTTATTGAATAAATTGATACACTAAACTTAATTTATACTGTTGTGTTAAGGCAATACCACAAATTGAGCAACATTATTTAGTCTTATTTCCATAGATCCCTATCACTGTTGATCTCAATGAAATGGCTGCTCCCAAATTAGCCATTCTTGGGTTTGATTAGATTTTCAATAATTGTACAAGCTTATCATTTTTGTAAATCCCAGTTGAAACAAAATAATCTTGTTTACATTCAAGCTGAAGTACTAAATTTTTCAATGTTAATTATAATTTGGCTTTAAAACATGTACATTATTATGTTAGGATGGCTTCCATAAAGCACGAAAAAGCCGAAGAGATTCTACCCAATTAGAACCAGATGGAACTTTCTAGAATATCTACGTGGCATGCTATGATCGAACAATTAAATAAATTCATACTTCAGGATTGTCTATAGTACTAAAAACTACAATTACCTCTGTTTTTCTGTACATTTTTGACTCTTACGCAATAACCGCTTCTCCTGCTACTCCTGTCTTTTGATTTATGACTGTGGGTTTTCTACGCGTTTGAGTGCCGATAGTTAGAATCAAGAAAAGGACGTATCGTGTTGATTCTCGTTAAATGTGTTAAGTATTAAATTAAGTTACGAAAAAAATATTTGATAACCACTTCCCACAAATCTAACACCAAAATATGTTCTTCCTAATAGACCCATTGTAAAATATGATAAATGTTCTATCAAATAATTTTACAGTTTATTATTTATTTCAACACATAGATAATGGTACAAAGAGGCACCAAATACATATGCGCCACACAAATCTCATCCGATATGTGTGAGGGCTGTGATACTGCCCGGGTGCCCAAACCGAAGCAGGTGGTTTTCTTAGGGGGCCACACCCCGAGCCTTCGACCTGAAGGTCTGATCCACAAGGCAGTGGAGCATTGTAAGAAGATGCAGTCCCATGGAAGCCGGTGACCAACAATTGGTTCATTCGCCATTTGTTCCCGCAGGATACTGGAGTCCATGTGCATCATTGGTTTGGGATCCGGTTAAAGCGCCGGACATTCGCTTTTCGTCCTCTCATTTTCGTAAACAACACCCCCGCCACGAGTAGGCAATGAGTAGGACTTCGCTGGCAGAGGCTATATACACGTGGCCGTGTGAGAGTATTTCAAGAGGGAGAGCGGACTCTCCCCACTCTCGGCCGTACCAGGGCATTTGGGGGCCTATGATTCTATCATAAACATTGATTATTTCACATGACTTAGATTCACAGCTTCTTAAAAGATAACAGCACCTGAAGATTCTTTCACACAAACTGTCAACATCAATAATGTATGGTTCAAATAAACTTTAAAATCATATTCAATATCATTCTATTAGTTGGACAAATTTTTTTTACATTTTCTATATACAATGTAGTTATTGTTAGTTAGGATAATGATTTCATAATGCATTGAATGAAACTATCAGAATATATTATATTCAATAGTGATTAGTTTATGAGAAAGATGAAAATGACATATTTGCTTTAATTGCAGTGAACCACTTTACGAATAACTGAATTTAATAAATATTACTGATCTAAAGTATTACGTAAGATTAGTCATGAATTATTGTTAATAAGTCGGTATTATTCAATCTTTATCTTACTCTTTCTATGGTATACGTACTCATACAAATTAGTACTCTTTATTTGTACTTTATAAACATTTTAGTTGACATATTAAGTGACTTTCATTCAACTACATGTTTAAATTAATTTCCCTTAAATGGACAACTTTTTGTTCTGTCTATATTTATGTGTTTAAGAACATCAATTGATATTTATCAATCTACTTCGTTTTAACTACCGTTTTCTATACCCTACAAGTTTTCTGATTGTTCTGATAATTTCTCAAACATATAGTAAAATCATTTGTAAATCAGAAGAATAAAAAGCATTTTATTTGTATTGATTGTTTGCATCTTCCCATTGATGTTTAGGACTGCAATTGACCAATCTCTTTCGTGGAATGCCTCAGTATTGTCGCTATGTCACAAGCATTTTAAGCAGGGATGGAATCCAGAACGCGTCGTAATTCATCGTGTTTGTGACTTGTTAACTCAATCCTTTAATTATTCCGTTTTCAGGTGTTCGATTTATCTCATTCATTCCAAACATAAATTCTTTTACTTATCACTTCAAGCATATGTATATATGCTTTGCTATTACTGTATTTCACTCAACATTTTTGCACACAATAAGCCTACCTACTTTCAAGTCGAGTATTAATAACTGTTTATGCATATAATCATTACTATACATGTGTATAATACAAATGATATGATTGATCATTTAGTATGAGTAGTAAACGGTTGCTTTCACGAATATGGTTTTGGTATTAATATAATTTAGTTCTCATCGATTCGTTATTTTGCACAGGATCTTATCAAGCGATAAACATCTAACGATATATCTTATATTTATTTTCTAATTAGCATGTTTTTGAAATACATTACTTATAATTTCTATTAATGCAATCCTATCACATTAAAATATTAAATATGATTTGGCATATATTCATATTATGTCTACTACTGCTAACTAATTACACATTAGCTTCATTTTGTTTATATAAATTGAATACATTGTTGTTTTCTTTCTCATATAAATGAGATTCAAGTTGTGTTTTTTTATATGAATCAGTCGTCAGCTTTTTAGTTGTACATAGATTTGTATTAACGTATATTTAAAGGGTAAGATATTTATGTTCAAGAGTACATAGACTACTATTCTTTAGATCAGGCTTATATGTATATAAACTCTGAATTGTCTGTTTCATTATATTTCACCTCTTTTAAATTATTTTTTTTCTGTTGATTTCCAAATAATGCGGATTTTTGATTTTCAACTATTTAGCGGGCTATTCAGTTTTATCACTATTGGAGAGATATGATTTACTGATGAGAAAATGTACACAAACATATGATTTATGTTTAAAACTTGGTCGGTAGAACTCGGTCTGTACTAAGAAGGACCTGACACATATGATTACTGATCATTATCTAGTGATCATTCAATTGTAAAACTTGTCTCCTTCAAATTAATTTTTACCTGATAATCGATTGTCTTCTCGTTGTAATTTCCAGATTTGCTGAATCAAAATTAACTAACTCTGTTTAGAAATTGCTGAGTAAATCAGTTTTCTTTTTTTCTATTTATGGTTTCTTATC